TCACATAGTTCTGTAAACCCAGGAAATGGAGTAAACCATGTTTAACTTAATCATAGGTAAATGTGCAAACAAAATCAATAATTATCAATGCTGGATTTCTCTATAATACTGTGCTGAAACCTGTAAAAATTGGATCACCGGCATCTTTTATTCATCACAAAGATAAGGTCAAAAATCTAGCATTTTTTTTTTTTGTTTGTGTGTTGGGATTTGGTGTGCTACATTTAAGGGGTCAAAAGAGTAACATATGTCTTGCAAATTCTTAACCTAATTGAAAACAATATATGAAATGGGTTCTTCCCTACTCACTTTCAGAGAGTAACTTTTCACATGCCACATAAAGCCTGTGTGGCCTTCTAGCTGACATGTTGTGCATAGTTATAAGCCAGGGGTGTCAAACTTACAGCCTGCAGGCCAGATGTGTCACATGCTAGCCACGCCCACCCCCATTTTAGCAAAGGAGAAAAAAGTTGATACATCACTTGACGTGACGCTGTGAGTTTGACACCTGTTATAAGCTGTATATACATTGTAAATATTAGTTGGAAATGACTTCTGGCATATTTAAGGAGTTGCAAAGCAACTGAAGACAACTTCATCCTGTACTGGATTTGGGCCGCTGCTGATATATGTAATGTACAGCTAAGTCCTTAACATGAAATTGCAAATAGGTACTTAAATAATATAATAATTAAATGTCTGATAAATGAGATTACAGTATCCTTTCTTCATGATTCTAAGAGTTTGTGCTTTGTACAGTTCTATTAACTGCAACCAAATACCTGCATGTTTATCTTTATTTGCCCTTATTATTTTCATTTGCTTGGTTAATTTTTTAGCAAGTACAACTGTTACCATCTAAAACATCCTTGCTAAACCATATACTAGCAAATCTAAAGTTTGTAAATCAGATGATGAGTTCAAGTTCAGAGTATTTGATTTTAGAAAATTGGGCTAAAATGGTGAAATTAACCATGATTAAACACTGCTCAGGTACAAGTTGGTTAAAGCCTACTAAGAGGTGGCATGTGGCTGAGTCCAAGTGTTAGTTAATGCCTCTTTGCAAATTGGGGTAGTACCATCTGCTTTTATTGATTGATTGATGTGATTTCCTTTTGCTTTGAAGGAGACAATGGTACACCCCTGTGTCAAGAGGCCATCTTTGGAACCCAACCATTGTAGATAACTTATCCAGTCTCCAATCTTCCCTTCTGGAGAAAGGTTGTTGAGAGGGTAGTTCGCATGCTGCTTCAGAGGGCCCTGTATAAAGTAGATTGTCTGGACCTTCCTCGGTTGGGGTTCAGGCCAAGTTATAACACCAAGATGACATTGGTCATGCTTGCTGATGACCTCTGGAGAGTCTGGGATGGGGGTGATACAACTGTTCTGAATTTCTCAGCAGCTTTTGATACCATCAACCATGATATCATTCTGGACTGAACTGCAAGGCATGGTTTTCTGGTGGTTCTCCTTTCTCTGTGGTTAATTCCAGCTGGTGTTGCTGGGTGGTCGCACCTTAGGTCTCCACAGCTTGGGATGCCTCAGGAATGAGGGCTCTCCCCTCTCCACATGAAAGCAATGGGTGTGTCACCCCATGGCACAGGGTGACACAATCATCAGCATGCTGGTGATATTCAGTTATACAGCCTGGGCCAGGCAAATGATCCTGTTGCAGGGCTGACCAAATGCCTGGAAACTGTCAGGGTGTAGATGGGGATGAACTAACTTCAGTTCAACCCTATCAAGATGGAGTAGTTTTGGGTTTTGGAACCCTCCTGGGTCGGGTGACTTCTCAACTCTGACTTTGAAGAGGGTTGCATTTCCCTTGGCCAAGCTGGTATGCAATTTGCAGCTCCAAGCTGGTATGCAATTTGCAGTCTTTTTAACTCATGGCTCTGCTGGATGAGAAGTGGCAGCCATGGCTAGGGATCCTTTGATCAGATTCATCTTGTGTGTCAATTGTGCCCTTGCTTGGGAGGTCTTGCTCAAAGTCATTCAGATTTTAGTCCCCCCCCCCCCCCCGGCTGGATTACGGCAATGCATTTTATATGGAGGCTCCCCTTGAAGACCGCTCAGTTTACAACTGATCCAGAAAGCAATAACGGGCACAGTATTGGGTGTCCATGTTACACCTTTATTGTGTGAGCTGCACTGGTTCCCGTTTTTTTTCTGGGTACAGTTCAAGTGGCTGATTATTATCTTTAAAGCTACTTAGCATGGAATCTGATGATTTACGAGACAATATTTCCTTAAAATATCTACCTGTCCCACTAGATCAGATAGGGTGGGCATGTTCCAGGTCCTCTCTCTGAGATTCTGCCATATAATGGTACCTGGAAATGTGTCTTTGCCATGGCTGTCCCTGCCTTCTATCTTGTGGAAAGGTGGAGGCCTGTTGAAGATTTGACAGGCCCCTGTCCTTTAGCCTTTTGGAAGTCTCTGAAGACCTGGGTTTTTCCTGAGGCTATAAGAATGTATGGGTAGAAAATATGGAGGGAGGTTGGCTGTGCCTGCTGTGGGGCATGCCAAAGGGCATGATTACAATGCAGGGTTTCTGTTTTATTGTTTTCATTGTTTTCAAGATTATTTTATTTACAGGGTATTATGTTGCTGAATCTCCTTTTACAAGTGCTGTCAAAATTTAATTGTTCAGTTTTTACATGTGAAGCAATGAGATTCTTGCCAGTTTGTTCAACATATGTATACAGGTAGTCCTTGACTATCCTACAATTATTCATTTATTGACTTTCAAAGTTACAACAGCACTAAAAAAAACCTGACTTAAAACTGGTCCTCACACAATTGATGCAGCATCTGCATAGTCATGAAATCAACATTTGGATGCTTGGCAACCAATATGTATTTACAATAGTTGCAGCATCCTGGAATCATGTAACTGCCATTTGCAACCTTCCCAGCTGGCTTTTGACAAGCAAAGTCAATGGGGAAGCCAGGTTTACTTAACGACCACATGATTCACTTAACAACTGCAGTGATTTGCTTAACAACCATAAAAAATGTAAAATTGGACACGACTCACTTAACAAACACGCTGCTTAACAAGAGAAATTCTGGTCTCAGTTGTGGTTCTAAATCAAGAACTACCTTAGTAAGCTTGTGGTTTATGCAATTTAATTTCCTGAATTTGCATGACATCCTGCAAGTTTTTCATATATGCTGAGTTTACACAACAATCCAAGTTTAAGCACAGATGGTTAATGTGAAGATTAGCATGTGGGGAGAATATAACCACAACATACGGTAAGATTAAACAACAGTCTCCCACAGGGTTCTGTTATGGCACTTACACTATTCAACTTATATGTATCAGCTATGCTTGGTGTCAAGGGGATGCAAATTTGGATTTGCTGAAGATTTGGCCATAGCAGTACAAGAAAAACACATGGAGATGTTGTTTGGACAGCCTCCTGTCCAAAGATCTTAAAATCTGGGGAGATTCTTCATTGGCTGGAGGCTTACTCCTAGCACCAGCAAAATGGTATCTTTGTGCTGCCACTTAAGAACAAATTAGCATATGAAGCCTCAAAGGTCCACTTAAACAACAATTTACTCCTCTATAATCCCCATCAAAGTACCTTAGGGCAACATTGGACTGGACTCTCTCCTATAAGATACATCTAGAGAATACTGTGGCAAAAATCAATACTAGGAACAACATACTCTGGAAATTATATGGAAGTAAATGAGGAGCTTCAGCTGCCAGCCTCAAGTCATAAGCGTTAGGGTTGGTCTACTCTGCAGCAGAATACTGTGCCCTTGTATGGCTTAACAACTGCCATACTAGTTAAGTTAGAAGTCAGACTGAACAACATCATGAAGATTATAAGTGGATGTATTAAAACCATTCCGACTTGCTGGCTCCCTGTTCTGAGCCATATAGCACTGCCAGCTTTACGAAGGCAAGATGCATTAGTGACAGACTAGAGAAAAATTATGAACAACTCACTCCTACAGATGGACCGCCAACTTTCCACATTTATCAGCCAGACTCAAATCCAGGAACTTGCCCACAAACTTTAACATAGATTCCCAATGGAAAGCCAATGGGTTGCTGAACACCCAGACATAGGACGACATATAAATGACCCCACAAAAAACATGCCATGCTTTGAACTACCATATCAGCAATGGACGATCCTGAATAGGATTTGCTACTCACACGACATCTGCCGGGACTCACTGTATAAATGGGGCTTATTATCCTCCCTTCAGTGTGACTTATGGAGTCCAACATCAAACTGTAAATTCACATTATGACTGGATGTCAGCTGAGAGCATATATCAGTCCAGCATCTGATTTTATTTTTTTTCATACAAATGATGTTGCGCTTCAAGAGTTAGACAGCCTATGTATTGGTTTTTGAACATAGATCTTTTAAACGTATTTTATGTTTTACTAATCTAGGTGAAATGTTAATATATATTACTAGTCCCTGTATGCGATATGCCATATGCTAAACAACATGATGTATTTTTGTAGCATTACAGGTTAAATAGTACGACCTGACAAGTTTACTATTCCCATAGTGTGTTATAATGGGATATAAATCGGTGCAAAACAATCTGGCTATGTGGTCGAAACCATACCTTGTATTACTTGAGAGAGTCAGTAGTTAAAACTTTTGTGGTTTCAAATGTGGGACATAAAACGGAGACAGTGAGAATAAATAAACATAGTCTATTAACTAATTAAAGCCAATTACAAGGCAAACATGTCTGCAATCTGTAATTTACTAATAACACAAAGTTATTTAGAAGACCATAAAGGGTGACTTCTCCAACCTCACAGGCCCGGCGGCCATTTTGAAAAGACAATGCCCTCTTCGCGAGCGAGAGTAAAGCTCCCTGCGCCCAGCAGGGTGCGCGCACGTTAAACAGGGGCGCGGACGATGCCCCTGGGTGCGCGCACGCACTCCGGCTTTATCCTCGCGCCGCCATTCTCTTCTGAGTTATGTAACGGAGCTGCGCGCTCTCGTAAGCCGAAGCCCAATGGGGAAACGGCTTAAGGGGGAGGGGAAAGCAGAGCGTGCGCGCTCTCGCAAGCCAAGGCGCGGCCCCGCGGCATTGCGTGCGCGTTCATTCGCCCCCTCCCCCAGCCTTTCTGTCTCGGCCGTTGCGGTCGCTTTTTCATCTTTCCGTCTCCCCACTTGCTCTGAGGTGCTTGGAGAGGAGCGGACCCCGCCGACTCGCTATGGCTGACGAGAAGCCCAAGGTGAGCGAGCGAGCGAGGGAGAGGGAGAAGGGCTGCGGGCCGGTACGAGGGAGGAGGGGGGGAAGAGGAGGAGGAGGAGGAGGAGAAGAAGAAGAAGGGGGAGAGCGCAGCGCAGGCTCTGCCGCGCCGGGTCTTGCGCGCCATTTTCCTCCCCTCCCCCACCTCCTCCTCCTCCTCCCCGTCTCGGTCTGTGCTCTTTCCGGAGGGCGGGGGAGGAATAAGGGCGCTCTTTCGAGAAAATATAGGGCTTCCTCCTTTCCCCCTTGTGGGAATCGGGAGCGCTCTTGACTTTGCGAAGCGATGAGGCTGCTTCGCCTTTCGTGGGATTACGCGCTTCTCCCTTCCCACGCCTTCCTTCCAAAAAAAAAAAAAAGGAAAAAAAAAAGATAGGCGCTAGTCCCTGTTGTGCCGGGCGCCGTCCAGCAGCTTATGGACTGGGAACGGGGGGTAGGCCTCTTTTGTGTTTTGCTTCTTTCGCAGCCGCTCTACGCGCTTCGTGAGCCGTCCAGTAGCAGGTAATCCCACCCCCAACCCCCCTCCCCCTTTTATGCCAGAGATAACCGATGATCAGCTTCTCCTCCTCCTCCTCCTCGTTTTAAATACGACTTTGGAGGCGCCAAAATTTTGATGGGTTTCGGAGAGCTCTCTCTCTCTCTCTCTCTCTCTCTGGGACTCGCGGAAGGTCTGGGAGAAAAGGCTTTGTCGCTGAAGGAGGTGGAAGAAAGGAGGCTTCGGGATTTATGAGGTTTGCTTTGTGCATCGCAGTGTGTGGTGCGTAGGGAGGAGAGATCGGGGAGGTGCGTGTTTTCTGGGAGATGGGAGAAGTGCTCCGCCGTGGGAGCGAGTGGTGTTTTTGAACAGAAGTGGTGGCATGCGTGTCTGCCCGGGGTGGGGGTAGGGGTAGGGAGGGGAAGGAGTTTTTAGATCCATTGGAGGGAAGCCATCAGATTTCTTGATGTGGAGCTCTGCATGCTGTGAATAGAGACATAAACAGGATCTACAGAGGCAGGGGGGATGCTTCTTGCAAGTTCTCGGCACCGTCTTGTCTTAAAGAAGGGCTGTACTTAGGTTAAACGGTACCTTTTAAACACTGAAATGACAGTGTTATCTTTCCCTTTCCCGTGGGGGGTGGTAGCATTGCAGTTTGCTAGAAAAGTTTTTTGTTTTTTGTTTTTTTGTTGTTTTTTTTTAGAAAGGAATGTAAAACATTTTTGCATAAAGGCTATTTGCAGATTTGTTGGTGCTACTCCAATTATTTGGAATTGTTTCCCTTACTTTTCCATGGTGCCTTGTCTAATGGAAGCTTCAGAGTTTAGGAACCATGTAGAAGGTTTTCGGCCTTGTTTGAATCTTATTAGAATGTTAACTTATTGTCAATCTTAAATCTCACCAGAATTAATAAATTAGGCTTATTTTATCAGAAAAAAACCAAATAAATCCAGATGCCTTTTGGAAAAAACCCCTTGGGATAATTATAACCTAGATGATTGAGAATCTACATAGATGCTCCCCTTAAAAGGGGAAGTAACTCATTTTACTACATTAACAATGTCACTCTGGTTTCCAAAACATCCCTATGCATGTCCACCATTAATGATTTGTTTTATGAGTTCAGTGAAATTTATTCCCATATAAGTGTGTGTGACGGTAATGAATCTTGTTTTTTAATTGTTTTTATTAGTTTTACAACAACACAACACTACAAAACACAAAAACACAATATATGTATCTTTTTACGTATCAGTTTCGTTCCTTACTTTCTACATTCCCCATTTTTCTCATTCTTTATTATCTTTATCGTCCCTTTATTTCTAGTTTTACTCATTTACAATATTTTACACATTTATCATATCATTTATTCACTTTTATTTTCCCTAATCTCAAGACAATCATACCACTTAGTCCATACTTGATAATATTCTGTGTCTTCCTTTTCTTTTATTTCTTTCGTTAATTTATCCATCTCAGACTGTAATGAATCTTGTTAATTTAGCACTGCTGCATATCCAAAGTAGTATGTTAATCAAATTAACTCATATTGTTTAAAACATAAAGCATGGAATTGTAATTATCTGACATGGCCTTTTGTTGTTCTGGTAATACTTTACTGAATTTTGTTTAAAGTTGATAACTAGCTAATTTTATTTCTGAATTTAAGAATGATAATGGTTAGTCCTTCAGTAATCCTAACTACAAGATGTAATATGAATATTGAACTTGATGACATTGACTATGTGAAGTAAATTGCTTTTAATATTCTCTTTCCCCCTTTACAGGAAGGAGTGAAGACTGAAAATAATGATCATATTAATCTGAAGGTTGCAGGGCAAGATGGATCTGTGGTGCAATTTAAGATTAAAAGGCATACACCACTTAGCAAACTAATGAAAGCTTATTGTGAACGACAGGTGAGAAGCTATATGAAATATATTTTGAACCATTTTAAAATTGATTTGTAGGATATTAAAGCTCTGTAATTATAGTGAATATAGAGTTTAGCATTGTATTAAAACACATCTGGTTATAGTTCTTGCTATTCAAGATAAAATATCAAAATAAAATCTTGTTATCTTGATTCAGTGTACAGTGAATTCCATCTAGAGGCATAATTTACTAAAGATATCTTATATGAGTTAACTATCTGGATGACCACCAGATAGTAACAGAAAGTCTTCTGTCTTCTGCTTTCCCTTTTCCGTGTGCAATAGTATGTAACTAACCAAAGGTGGAAAAGAAATTATCTCTTTTTTAATGAAGGTTTTCTCAGTGGTGTATATTCTCTTATAATTATTGGATAAAAGAAAATGTGATTATGGATCATTGCAATTGGTACCTTAAACATAATCTGGAAAAATACAGCACCTCTTCCATGTTGCTCCCGGGAGTTACCAGGATTTGAGTTTCACTTGAGAGAAACATTGCCTTTTTAATCATGGTATAAAGAAATAGAATTATGGTGTATCAAGAAACATGGGACCATTTACTATAACAGTTTTGAAGACTCTCTGTATTTGTGCATTCCTAAACATTAAAATTATATTCAGTGGGGTTGATGTTGCTTAACTACAATTCCAACATAGTTACTTTGATGAATGGCATTGTTTGTTATTTAATCAGCAGACTTCTAGCTTCTGTATTAGAAAAATAGATTTATTAGGAATATAGTCTACTGGGACCAAGTACTCGCATAAAGCAACTTGGTATAAAGAAAGTCTCTACTGAATCATATTATCTGTTAGCATGAAAGTTGGTAAAAGATCCTTCCTTCCCCCCCCCCCCCCCCCCCCCCCTTGGGGGGGCAGGGGGGCCAGTTCTGTATTTTGCTGTGCTTTGTTCTGTAAGAATAAATTTCCTATCAGGATGGTTCTTGACTAATAATGTACAACAAAATTAGGTGTGATGGCAGAAATGGCCAACTTGTATCTTGTTGAGTCTGGTCCTGCCTTGTAACAAATTCTGACTGCACAGTACAGTGGATCCAGGAAGGATTTTTAACTGTCTTTTAGTGCAGATATTTTAAACTACATTTATTTCAAGTCTCAAGTTGGTTTAACTAGGCATCTAGTTTTTCAACTAAAAGGTTATTAAAAGACATAATGTGTGCTGCAGTTCACTTCATCAGATGCATAGTGTGACTAGACTGATGCAGGATGGAAACTAGCCACTCTACATGAAAGAGCTGCAGCTCAGAAAAAGTTTTATATCTTTTAATAACCTTTGTTAGTTGGAAAAGGAATTGCCACATAGTTTTGTCACTATATAGACTAACCTGGCTGTCCTACAAGATAATCATTGAATATGAGTGTGCTTTGGCTGAGTTGCTGTGCAATGCTTGCACGAAATTTACCTTTGTATTTTTCAGTTACCAGAAATCATTTAAAATCAGATTATCCAGAGATTATGGAATACTAAACAATATTGCAAAATCTCTAATTAATGGATCTCAGTTTAGCAGACATTATAATTAATAGACAAAATATACTGAAAGGGATTGGCTGTGCTAGGGTATTGGTAGCAACTCTGTGGGGAGCTAGGAAGATGTGATGCGGGGCAATGGGTTATGCTACTGTGAGAGTTGCCACAGGCACACACCAGCCTTGCTTTGCTTAATGGTCTTGCTTTACTCACTGTTAGGGTTAGGACAAGGGCAAACACACAATGGACATTTTATTGGTCTTCCCCCTCATATCCCATTCATAGATTAAATATGTGAATTTACTATAATTGGCTTTATACATTCCACTAAGCCTCAGTTTCTTTCATTCATAGGTTATTAGCTAAATTACAGTAGATGGTTTCACATAACATAGTTTATGATGTGTGAAGTATGCCTGCAAACATTCTTCAATATTTATAAAATTAAAAACAAAATGTCACCTGTATTTAAACAATGTGAACTTATACAGAATATTATACAAAAATGTTTAGTTTGTTAAGAGGAAGGTTATTTTCAGCTTATAAATACAGTACTACTAAATTTTATTGCATTACTAAAGTGTAATGCTATATCTATGCAGCAGTTTCCTCAGTTTAGGAAAGTTTATTTGATGATTATAAAGTCTAATAACATGGCTGCTATCATTTCTGAAAGTTGGTCCTGAACTGCCTTAATCTTGGGTCTCAGTTGATTCTGAGGTCACTGATGAACACTAATGCTGAATAAACTGAACAGCTAATCCATTTTTAATAATTTAGATAGAAAGCAGTATGCAGTCTTAGAAGAATTCTGGTTGTTTGCTATTTCAACTGCCTATTTTATTTTTGAATTTATGTAGGGTTTGTCAATGAGGCAAATCAGATTCCGGTTTGATGGGCAACCAATCAATGAAACAGATACACCTGCACAGGTAAAAAAAAAAAAGTGTCATTAAAGTACTTGGTGTGAAAAAGTAAAATTTGGTTAGAAGTATAAATCCCAAGAAATGTTTTAAAAGTAATCCTTACATATTTCTTTGTACCTAAACATTGCTTACGTCTGAAAGATAATTGAAGTACAAATGCATGAAAAAAATTGTACCACTAAAGACTTGATGCAGCAATTAAAAAAACAGCAATATTGCAATGTTTTTAAAAACAGGTTTCCTCTTGTGACATGGCTTTCAAGTTGGGAATGGGATATTATTTCTTCCTATTAACAACTGAAAATCCCAATTAGTTTAGACCTAAAAAGTAATATTAATGTTTGCAATATCTATCAAGGGAAGTATTAAAATTAACTCTGTATAATAAACATCTATTGACTTGTATTTAAAAATGTTTTTCTTCGAAGAAGGAAGCCTGCTCTGAATTCTGTCAGTTCCTCTGCCTTGCTTGTAGTAGAGGTATTATTTTTGGCTATTCCAAGGAGACTTTTAACTGAAAGGAACAGCTTTGGAGGTTTACAAGGGCTTCAGTTAAAGTAAGATTCAAGAAAGCCCCATTGGCTGAATAGAGATCTTACACTTATGCTTTCTTGAATTCAGCCTACTAAGGCAGAAGCTGACCAAAATCTTATTGCATAATAAAATGTCTCTTTCCAAATAGAGTTGAATTTGGCAGGGGGTGGGTGGGGGTGTTAATGAACAGAAGAAAATGGAGTATTATATTTGCATTACTTAGCAATCTAACTACAAGCTGATCCCTAGTTACGTGGTTTTTTTTTTCTTTTTATACTTTTGGGAGTGTATGAAAAACTAAAGAAAACTTGTTATACTTATGTCACTTACTTCACTTGTCATGTGATAACATGATAATATCACTTATCATACTTTGAACTGATTTATAATTTTTTTCAATACAGTTGGAAATGGAGGATGAAGATACAATTGATGTGTTCCAGCAGCAGACAGGAGGCATGAACTAAAAGAAAGAACCAAACTTCCTTTCCCACAGGCAACATATTCACAGTTAGAAAAAAAGAGACCTGATTCAGCCACATCTTGACTACTGCAGTATAGCTTTCTCTCTTCTTTGATTTCTTTTCTTATTCCTTCTATTGTACATAAAGTAACTGGTGTATGTGCACAGACATGCATATTTTTTTTAACTAAATAGCCAATTGTATGTTTTGATCAACATCATATGGAGAAAGGGTGGTAAAAACAATCTGGTCTGTGAAAACATCCCATTTCTCCACTAGTGGCATGCTCCTCTAACTTTGATCTTTATATTCCAGTAAGTTATTTTTGCTCTCATTGTTGGAAAAAAACAAAAAAACCTTACATACTTTGTTTGATTGGACAATTTCATTGTTTTTCTTTTATCGTTGTACAACCAAGGACAATTTTATAACTTTTTTGTACGTAGCTGTTACATGTAGAGCAATCTGTCTTTAAGTAGGGGTAAATTACTCTAAAACAAAAGTTTGATCTTGGATAGTTTTCCCTTCCGTCTTGTTGTTTAAATAAACTTCTTGTTTAAAATAAAACAGCTTATTTTTCTGTGCTGCTGTCATCTCAGCTTAGAACCAATCACCTGGTAAAAACAGATAGAAACTTCCTTGCTGTTTCATCAGATTTTAATTTTAGTTTTTATATTTCTGCTGACAGTCCAGACAAGTTTTAAATTACCAGTTACAGGGAGGCTGACTGGATGTGAAGGGCACAGTAAATATCACTTCTTGCAGTGAAAATCTTGGCAAGAAATGAGGGTTCTAATGTAAATTGCTAGATTGAAATGCTATGTTTCTTTTTTAGTGGAAATGTTTGGGATTGAAAGCAATATGTTCTTCCTTTGTAAATGTAAAATTGGGCAGTTATTTGGGAAGACACGATACTGTGCCCAGTGCAGCTGATCTGCAGTCAGATTCTTGTGTTCTTGTACAGATAAGTTATGTGATTAGCTGATCCATATGACTTTTCAGGACCGAAGAAGGGGAGTGCAAATGGAAACCCTATCCCTGCTTGTTTTAATATTTGGGGATGAGAGAGGCGTAAGGTACTGAGGTTATAGATGAAGCTAATAATCTTAAGGGACTAAAGGGAAATAGTATGAGAAATATTTGAGGCAATTCTTCTACAGTTTTCAAACCGGCAATATAGAACTGTAAAATCAATATATATCTTACCTAGTTTGGCACATCAAATATCTTTTAGATATCATAATAGAAAGCAATGTGGAAAACAAATATTATTTGTTATAGTAGAGGAACTTGGTTAACTATTGGTGAAGTAAAATTATTAACAATAGGATAAAAAGATAGATTTAAAAATTCTCAGTTCTTGGCTATCTTATGCATTATATTTCTCATCAAGTGTACAGCATTACTTCACATCTATTGGGATGTGTCTTTTTAATACCTGATTGGGATACTCTTGGTTATTGTCAAGCTTAGAATTAGTAATGTAGGTCCAGTACTGGTCTAGAACTCTAGCGATAATGTGAAAGGCCCGTTCATTTATATTTGAGTTTGAAAGTTGCCAGAAGTCCCTTACTCATGGTTAAATTGCTTTGTTCCTTTTGGTTTGGAGGGTCTTCCGTAAGTACATTGCCAGGATCGCAGAAATGAAACATGCCATTTAGCCAATAGTTTAGAGCAATCTTCTGTTATATGTTGATAGTTAGACATCAGGTTATATGTGTCCTGCTTCTATTATACTTAATTTAACCAGAAGAAACTGTTGGGCTAGATACTTAATGCCATGATTGTATTTGGAACACGTAATCTACAAAATAAATTTTTTACAACCCTTCCCCATGATGTATGGTAATGCCCTCTAATATATATCAATTGTTAATTTCTGTAACACAATTTCAGAATTTGAGGGGATAGTTTAATCTTAACCAATTTTTTAAATTTCCCTGGTGGGACCTAGGAATTCATTCAGTATATTTTAAAAATACCTCAGTCTTAAGGAGTTTACTGAATTGCTTCAAATAAGAGGCGATGGCTACATTATGAAATTGTGTACTTTCCTTGTTGCAATATAATAATAAAATAATATTTTTGTTCCAAAAATGGTGCTGCATATCCTACTCTGCGTGTGTGCAGTCCTGGTTTTCAGAATTTGGAAGCAAATTCATACTGCTTATAATAAGTATATATTGTCAGTATCTGTTCTACCAAGTTTCAGAAATATATTAGTTTATGCAGCATAACTTCAAAGTAAAGTACATGCTGGATAATGAATCAAGTTACTTTTATTATGTTTATAATTTGCAACCGAGCACCTGCACTGCTGAGTTTTCAGTTCTCTTCTCTTGAGCATAGAAGGAAAATAAGAAATTATAATGTGGGAATTGTATGTTGCAAAAATACCAAGTTGCAATGAATCATGTTTCAAGGTCCGGAATGCCAAAGTGTAATTACCTCAATATATGGTACATGGAAAAAAATGAACATTCAAAGAATGTAGAATATAATAAATAATTTCAGTTATTTCTCCTTTATGGAAACATCCATGATTCAAGATGATTGTATCCCTGAAATCATCTTTTGCCATAATGTGATTTGTTTGCATCTTTCTGTAGATCTGGCCATTGCAACTTGTAAAGATTACTGTTTAACATGAAAACCATGACTTAGCATAATGTATTAATCAATTTTGCCTTTCTCATTTATCAACACTTTTTCCCCTTTGATTCCTGTAAATACAAATTTACCCAAAAGGGCAACAGAAAATTTGGTAAGGACAGTACATGAATGTGAAGATTTTTATCCTATCTAATATATCTGCCTTTTTTTGCAATCAATTTCACTGAACACTTTATTAGAGATACTAAACTTGAGACCATCATGTAACAGCTTATTAATTGTTCAGTTTCACTGAGTATGGTGGTAGAACATGGAGTAACAGTACTTTGAAACAGTAAAGTAATGCACTTGTTTTCAATTTTTGTTAATATATTGTTTTATTATACAGACACATATGTCTGATGCTTTTCTGTTCAAACACTCATCAGGTGTCATTTATAGAGCATAACATGTTTATAGGTAAATTTTGAAGTAAAAGATATAGAAAAATTAATCTCTCCTTCAGCAAAATAGAAATATTTGAATAGCTTTGCTCAGGCACAATAATATTGCAGTTGTTCACATTTCTAATTAGAAGTAAGTCCTGCTGAAGTCATTGAGAATGACTCCCTGGTAAATATGTTTGGATTATGGGGCAACTAATAGAAGCATACTTTAAACATTTAAGCAGGTTTTTTAAAAACAGTCTAGGTTTTTTTTTAAGGGATTTGTAAAACAGCTTCGTATGTAGAATGAGAACCGTTTTCTCTGGTAGAAAGGACCATTTCTAATACCTTTCTGAAAAAATGCTTTTGTTTCATGGGTCTCCTGCCATTTACCTAGAGTTTTTTCTCCGATATCACATCCAGATTGATCCACACATCAGTACAAGATACTAGTGTATTTTTCCCGTTCATGGTGTACAGTATATGTACCATAGTTAAATGTGGGGCTGAGGGCATCATTCTCTAGGAAATAATGATTTGAGGTGCCCTGCTAAAGCAGCCATTTGGTAGAAGTATGTTACATGATATATATATATATTGTAATACATTTCGTATTTTACTGCACTGGCGTTAATTTTCATTTGATCCCACCCGGATCTCAAGAGAACCCTCGCCGGCGGGGCTCGTTGAGCTCTGCCACTCCCTTTGACCAGATCTCCTCCAACTGCTACTCCATAAAGAAAGACTGAGGAAGTTATTGCTGCCTCATGTGCAGTCTAGCCAGTGCTAACCCATTTTTATTTAAATGACAGCCCCTTCGTTAAATCGCATGCCAAGAAGCGGGATAGGGAGTATCGACCAATGGACGCGAAGTAACAGTAGCTGTCGACGAATCGACTTCCAACGACGATGGCGAGTAAATGTTGCTGGGCTCGGAGGAGGGGCAACGTCCGGAGTGGCACGAGGCTCCCTTAATCACGTCAGGACAGGGCGTTTGAACTATCCAATGAGGCGATCGAAGGAACGAACCTTATAAAAGAAGCTGCCAGCGCCGAGTGGCTATTGCAGTTGTAGCCGGCAGGAGCTGAACGCGGAAACATCATCTTCCGCTGGCCTAGCACCCGGGCGGTTTCCTCCAAGTTCTTCCCCGTCATGACCACCACCACGACTTACACGGGGATGGACCCCAGTGGCCGAAGTAGCTCCAGGTTCGTGGGTGGGAAAGTCTCTTGTCCGCAAGACGTTGCTTGTTCGTTCACTATTCCTGCCTCCCTTGACTCGGGGCTGCCTTCGCCCGAGAATCCCCCGTTTTCTCCGGGAAGGGACCGTGCGGCGAAACGCCCTGGATTTCGGGGAGGCGCGCCGTGCTGGGGCTGGCTCCGGAGATGCCCTCAATTCCCCGGGCTGGGAGAGAGGCGGAGGAGAAACCCCCCCCACCCCACACACCTCCTGCCAACCCTGGGTGGGATTTCTTCTCCTGCAGGGAAGGGCTCCCTTCCTTGGGATCTGGGGGGGGGCCTGCGGATAACGCTTCCCACCGCCGTCCCCTGGCCGCTGGAGGGGGTAGACGAAAGGCCGGAGGGGCTATTGTCACGCCGGCGCTCCCGCCTGCCGGCACACGCCCGGCGCCTCCATCTGTTGAGTCGGAGACACGAGAGCAGCCTCTCCTTGTTATCCGTCTGGAAGCCGGGCAGGCGAGGTGTTAACTGCGCCATGCTTCCGCCTAGGCCTTGGGACTCCGCCGATCCGGTGGCTTTCTCGCCCCCTTTGTAGGTTTCGGTAGTCGGGAGCGGGGCCTGGCGGAGGGAGGGTGGGTGGCCGGGGAGAAAGAAACCTGTAGCGGACTTCGCCTTTTCCTCCGTCTGTTCTGGGGGCTCGGGGAGGGGTTGTTGTGCCTGCCCGTCATTTCTTTCTGGCTTTCCTTCTGCTTAGCGACACGGATGCTGGGGGCGTGCTGGCAAGTCTAGGCGATGTTCCTTAGCACTGAGCGCCCTTCGGCTCTGGTCGGAACAAAGGAGACTCTTACTCCGGGTAGTTGAATTAGAGGCTTTCAGCCCTTCTTCTCTGCATGTCTCTCTCAGCCCCGGCACGGTTATCGGCTTATCTTTTTTGTCTTGCTGCTCAATGTCTTAGTCTGGCTAGGCTTCCACTACTAAGTGGCTCTTCTCGCTGGGTGGGGCTAGCCACACTTCTTTTGTCTTGCATCTATCGCTGCCTCTCTCTACCTGTTAACTCAAGCCTTGGGAGCTGGGATTAGGTCAGCAACTTCCAAGCATTCTTTGAAAAGCTGCTTCCTCCTCGGGTCCAACTTCTGCCAGTCAGCTCAGGGATAGGTACTTCAAGCAAGGCTGGTTAGTAGGAGTAAAGGTGTGTGTGTGTGTGTGTGTGTGTGTGTGTACTAAGCTTATTGTGTATTATTACTCTAAAGGGATTGGAGTTGAAATACAATCGGGGCCCCAGTGGTTATTTGTAGTCTCTTAATGCAAGATGAACTTGCTACAGTGTGCATGTTGCAATGGTTGCCCTTGGGATTGTGGGAGAGTTGGAGGGTGAATGTTTCAATTTGCATTTTTTTTTTTTTAGTTAGCCAATGAATCACTTGTTCTGGAACAAAGAAAGGTTGAAATATTTTTTGAGTTCCCTTGTTATAGTAGTGTGCAACAAAAGAATCATGGATGTAATACCGTAATTATACAGAGTGCCTCTAGTCTGAAGAAATGTCACATCACGTTTTCATAAAGAATTGCCTTAAAATTGGCTTCCCCTCCTATTATATTGTCTAAAAGGCCATAATATATTGCAAAGGTGAAGAACCTCTGTCCAGATGATGTGCAGCAGTAACAATTATAATTGGTGTGGAAGGTAGTCAGAAATGGTGAGAATTGAAATCTAGGGATGACTGGATATTAGAGATCTTCCCATAGTGATTCCTGAGTAGGGAGGAATGTTTGTGCAAATTTCCATATGTATTGGTAGGGATGTCCATGTTCAATGGAATAGAGCTGGAAGACACCTTGGAGGTCTTCTATTCCAACCCCTGTACCATTTCAGACAGGTGGCTGTCCAGTCTTTTCTTAAAAACCTCTAGTGATGGAGCACCTACTGGATGGAGCACCTGGATCCAAGTTGTTCCACTGGTTAATTGTCCTCACTGTTAGGAAGTTTCTCCTTAATTCCAGGTTGCTTCTTTCCTTGATAAATTTCCATCCATTGTTTCTTGTCTTGCCTTCTAGTGCTTTGGAAAATGAATTGACTCCCCTCTTCTTTATGGCAGCCCCTCAAATACTAGAATATTGCTATCATGTCACCCCTAGTCCTCCTTTTCTCTAGACTGGCCATACCCAATTCCTGCAACTGTTCTTCATATGTTTTTCTCTCCAGACCCTTAATCATCATAGTTTCTTTTTTTGCACTTTTTCCAAAGTCTGCAGTCTTTGGACACTCCCAGAAATCTGAAGCATCTGTTTATAGGTCTTTTGGATAGTGAATCCAACTATTATGTGGTGCCAAGCATACCCCAATATGATTGGTATTAAGATTACGTTGAAATGAATCAAGAAAATTGTAATAAATGTTCTTGGGATCTTGTAAATTGTGTGTTCAAATGTTTGTGCTCCTACTTGGTTTTCAAAGAATAATAGGCCTCTTATCTATAGTGCTGCTATCATATTGGAGCTAACTGAAGCAATAATTGGGTGAAAAGCAATTGGGTGACAAACAGGATGAAAACAGCTCTGGGCAACAAAGCCAGAAAATATTTTATTTCTACCATGCATCCTACATTTTCATGACGTGACATAATATGAGCAAATAGGTACCCACATCAATTGTAGATATATGATAAAATCTAATTTTACCATGTATCTACAACTGGATAGGGTGAGAATTATCCACTCTTTGTTCTCTGCTTAAGATCTCATTCTGCTGATAGAAACATCATTACATTTCACTCATATAATTAATGCCATAAAGTAGAAAGTTCGGTGGAAACATTTGCAAGACTGAATTGTTATTTAGTAAGATTCAGTCTATAAATGCTTTCTTTCTGAGTCTGGTGATCATTATTAAGCTAATCAAATTTACTAAAATATATAATCGATAACCTTTTTACAACTTGCAGTTGATATAGACCAAGTTTGTATTTTTGCCTCAAGAGCAGGGCTGTCAAACTCCCGGCCCATGGGCTGGATGCGTCACGCACTGGTCATGCCCACGCCCGGTTTAGTAAAGGGGAGGAGTCCCAATACGTCACGTGATGCTGCCATGATGACGTGAGTTTGACACCCCTGTTCTAGAGGAATAGTGCATAAGGAATAGCCTTCCTGTTCCATATATATCTTCAGACTATCCAGCCAGTTCTAATTCAGCATGAAAAGTTTTACAATAAAAAAGGGTTGAATCTTGAGATTTCTATATTTTGAGGCTCTCAGTGTGCCACAATTTTCACTAATGAAGAATGTGCCCTTCCATCAACTGCACATATATGGCATTTTTTTTCGGTGTGTTGCTACAAATGGTGATGGAAACCTGGATTCATATACACAAGGTCTTTGACCTACGACCATTTTAGTGACCATTTGAAGTTACAATAACACTGAAAAAGTGACAATTTTTCACATGATCGTTGCAGCATCCACATGGTCATGTGATCAACTGGCTTGGCAACTGGTATGTAGTTATGACAGTTTCAGTGTCCTGGAGTCATGTGGTCACCTTTTGCAACCTTCTGATAAGCAAAGTCAATGGGGAAGCCAGATTCACTTAACCATGTTAGTAACTTAAAACTGCGGTGATTCACTTAACAAGTGTGGCAAGAAAGATCATAAAATAGAGCAAGATCCACTTAAAAGATTTCTTTCTTAGCAATGGAAATGTTGGGCTCAATTGTGGTTATAAGTCAACAGGTATAGAACCTGTTGTTTTTTGGGTTTTCTTTCTGTAGAATTCCATTTGTACACACTCTGCTTATCAGCTAAGATGGCCCAGAATTTTAATATTCAGCCCAGATCTTATTTTTAATTTAAGAATATGTTTGGTTTGTAATAGTGCAGCTCCTAATCAATCCAAAAGATTTATGGTTGCTATCATGTTTTTTATTACTTAGCTTAAATGTTACCATACTGAAAATGACTACTCCAGTTTTCCTGCCTCTCTCTTATACTCAAGCAATTATTAAATGATTTTTTAAAAAAGTTTATGATTAAAAATTTAATTACAAAAAACCATGATCATACTGAGTCTAAAAGCAGCATATACACCTGCTTGAGCATTACTATAGACTACAACCCATGTAGTAAAAAAAAAATATTGAAACATAGCTATCGCCATAATGATGCAGGGTACTATGATTGTATGATCCCAGAGATACAATATTCTGGAGGCCATGGGAATTGGAGAGAAGGAAGTCTTATAGACATCAAGGAGTCACCTCCCCAATTCAGTTTATTATTCCTGTGGATCCCATACTATAGTCTTAAAATTAAAAACTTTGTGATTGTATAAACAGTCTTATCTGCAAAAAGGAAATGGATACTGATGTCATCTGAATGGCTGGAGATTGCTGCTAACAGTGAATATAAAATGCTAGTGCATGCATCTAGAATGTTGAAAGCATGTGGGGGTGGATTCACAAAATGACTACCATTGGCTGTTCACAAAAGGACTGACATACAGTGGGGCAAAAAAGTATTTAGTCAGCCACCAATTGTGCAAGTTCTCCCACTTAAAAAGATGAGAGAGGCCTGTAATTGTCATCATAGGTAGACCTCAACTATGAGAGACAAAATGAGAAAACAAATCCAGACAATCACATTGTCTGATTTGGAAAGAATTTATTTGCAAATTATGATGGAAAATTAAGTATTTGGTCACCTACAAACAAGCAAGATTTCTGGCTCTCACAGATCTGTAACTTCTTCTTTAAGAGGCTCCTCTGTCCTCCACTCATTACCTGTATTAATGGCACCTTTTTAAACTTGTTATCAGTATAAAAGACACCTGTCCACAACCTCAAACAGTCACACTCCAAACTCCACTATGGTGAAGACCAAAGAGCTGTTGAAGGACACCAGAAACAAAATTGTAGACCTGCACCAGGCTGGGAAGACTGAATCTGCAATAGGCAAGCAGCTTGGTGTGAAGAAATCAACTGTGGGAGCAATAATTAGAAAATGGAAGACATACAAGACCACTGATAATCTCCCTCGATCTGCCGCTCCATGCAAGATCTCAACCCCGTGGGGTCAAAATGATCACAAGAACGGTGAGCAAAAATCCCAGAACCACACGGGAGGACCTAGTGAATGACCTGCAGAGGGCTGGGACCAACGTAACGAAGGCTACCATCAGTAACACACTACATCGCCAGGGACTCAGATCCTGCAGTGCCAGACGTGCCCCCCTGTTTAAGCCAGTACATGTCCGGGCCCGTCTGAAGTTTGCTAGAGAGCATTTGGATGATCCAGAAGAGGATTGGGAGAATGTCATATGGTCAGATGAAACCAAAGTAGAACTATTTGGTAGAAACACAACTCGTCGTGTTTGGAGGAGAGAGAATGCTGAGTTGCATCCAAAGAACACCATACCTACTGTGAAGCATGGGGGTGTCAGCATTATGCTTTGGGGCTGTTTCTCTGCAAAGGGACCAGGACGACTGATACGTGTACAGGACAGAATGAATGGGGTCATGTATCGTGAGATTTTGAGTGCAAACCTTCTTCCATCAGCAAGGGCATTGAAGATGAAATGTGGCTGGATCTTTCAGCATGACAATGATCCCAAACACACTGCCCGGGCAACGAAGGAGTGGCTTCGTAAGAAGCATTTCAAGGTCCTGGAGTGGCCTAGCCAGTCTCCAGATCTCAACCCCATAGAAAACCTTTGGAGGGAGTTGAAAGTCCGTGTTGCCCAGCGACAGCCCCAAAACATCACTGCTCTAGAAGAGATCTGCATGGAGGAATGGGCCAACATACCAGCAACAGTGTGTGCCAGCCTTGTGAAGACTTACAGAAAACATTTGACCTCTGTCATTGCCAACAAAGGATATATAACAAAGTATTGAGATGAACTTTTCATATTGACCAAATACTTATTTTCCATCATAATTTGCAAATAAATTCTTTCCAAATCAGACAATGCGATTGTCTGGATTTGTTTTCTCATTTTGTCTCTCATAGTTGAGGTCTACCTATGATGACAATTACAGGCCTCTCTCATCTTTTTAAGTGGGAGAACTTGCACAATTGGTGGTTGACTAAATACTTTTTTGCCCCACTGTAATAGGGATGTCACTCACAAACATCCACATTTCAGAAGTTGCATTAGCCCTGTCTCCCATGATGGTCTCCATCATCCACTAAGGCCATTGGCACTCCTGGACATCACTTTGGAACTAAAGGTGGTGTTTTGCTTTGCATCATGAAAACTTCTCTGTTTAAAGGGGGAAAAAATTAAGATGTAAGATTATATCTGTCTACTAAACACCAAGGAGATGTCTGAGATTCTTTGTCTCCTTTTTCTAAGTTATCTGTCTAAATAAGCTTCACAATTTTGGAAACACATCTTTGTTTTTAACCAAGCCTTATATATGGGATATTGGTTTATCATATAATCTGAAAATAATTATCAATATAGTCAATATCTACTTAGCTCTAGGTTTGTTGGAATTACCTATCATGTGCACATGTAGCTCAATGCTTCAGAAAAAATGTAGGAAGCTGCCCTCTAAACCTGGTCCATTTGTCCACCTAATTCACCCTGCTGGATCTGGGATCTGCAGCAATCTGTGTAAATGTTTTCCCCTGTTCATTTGTTCTTTCTTCTTAGTCTTCTTAATCTTACATTTTAAACAATAATTCGTGTAGGAATGTCTTAACTGATTTTTGTTTTCTCTGGAAAAAAATTAGGGTGATAGGCCCTTAGCTCTTTCCTTTACATGTGATTGTACATCAGTATTTCAGTCATTTGGTTGGCGCAAAATGGAATGTATGGTTCCTGGCCATATCTTTCTAATACATTGAGAAACAATCTAAGTTTAAAATGAGGGATAAATGAATACACTATATTTTATAACATATATGTAAGTGCTCCCTGATACTATTGTTTTTTAATACAACTAAAATGCTTTATTCTTTTTCTAGGGTTCTTCGGCCCCCAGGTGGTGGTTCTAATTTCAACCTAGGATTTGATTTGCCAAAAGACCAGCAAGGAGGAAAAAGGAACAGGATGGCATCTTCCATCTTTGGGACTCCAGAAGAAAATCCACCATCTTGGGCTAAATCAGCAGGTAAAAGATTCCTTTCTTAAGGCAATTGTGGATACACCAAAACAACTAGACACAAGAAGAGTTTTTTCCCGAACACCATCACTCTGCTAAACAAATAATTCCCTCAACACTGTCAAACTATTCACTAAGTCTGCATTACTTATTACTGTTAGTCTTTTCATCGTTCCTATCACCCATCTCCTCCCACTTATGACTGCATGACTGTAACTTTGTTGCTTGTATCCTTACGATTTATATTGTTTCCTAGTATGATCTGATTGCTTATTTGTACGCTATGACTATCATTAAGTGTTGTACCTTATGATTCTTGACGAATGTATCTTGTCTTTTTATGTACACTATATGCACCATAGACAAATTCCTTGTATGTCCAATTACACTTGGCCAATAAAAAATTCTATAAAGAATTATATTCTATTAAATATTTAAATTTGGATTTAGCTCTTCTATTAAAAATAGACACAATATTGCAGATGAGATGGGCTTAAATAACTTGAACTGGTTCAGAGGATTTATATTTCTTCCTTTTATTCCTACAATCTTGATCTTTAATTCAGTCAGATGTTGTGGTAGAAATTGGTCTCTTTTCAGTTTTGCCTTCTCCCATCCCAAAAGCTGCTTTGAGGCTTTGGTAAATCCAATGAAGTCATTACCGTAATTAGGTTCTTCTCTTGGTTTATGATCTGTATTTCCCCATTAATTTTCAAAACTTTAACCATCTTTTCTATATTCAGCAGAAAGTCTTTATCTGTGTCATTCTCTTAGCTGTCATTTGTGTTTCCACTTTAGCAGCCTTCTTTGTGGAAAAAAACCCACACTTTGTTTTATTATTTACTGTTTCTGGTTGTAATATTTCTACAGACAAAATTTGTTCCACATCTGTCACTCCTTCATTAATATTTTTGACCATAGACTGTCCATAGTAGCATCACCATTCCCAGCATTGTAGTTGCTAATTTCTGACTCCTTTCTTCAATTTCCTGTGACATTTCAGATGTTGTAAGCTAATTTCTCCCCTTATTAGAATGTTTGCTGTTGTTAAAATGTGTTCACATACACTGTTTTAATTGCTAAGTGGCTGAATGCTCTCTATTATGCTTTGCTGTACTTGACTTATCTCATCTAATGATAACTTGCAGCCAAGTCCACTGAAGTTGAGGATAATTCTGAAGCAGTTGGAACTGAAAGGAGAGGTTCTTCTGATGCAAACTCTGGTGACTATGTAATTCCAAAGGTAAGCTTTGCTTTCCTTTTAATCATGAATATATTTCAGTGGCTAATTATTGTGCCTGGTAGCACATCCCTTGTTCTGTCTTGAATTAGTGCATGTACTTACTATGACTGAGTTTTAATACTTTTATCAACAAGATGAGGAATGGAGAATCTTTGCTCACCAGATGTTGCTGAACTACAACTGTAAACTTTGCTCCCCTTTGAGCATACTGGCTTTGCTGCTGGGAATTGTAGTTCTGTAAAAACTGGAAGCCACAATTTAGTCCATCCCTTTTTTTATATCTGTTTAGGTGGGGGAATAAAACAGTAAATCTGTGTTCTGCATGTACTATGCAGCATAACTAAAATGATACACACTTTTCAATTTGTGAGAAATGGTTTTAATCTAGAACTCGCTCTCCTATTAATAAAGGTGACCATTTTTACAATAATATCCCCATCATCTATGAAGTCATTTGTCACTCCTTGCACTTTTTAATGTTTTGCTTTAAATAAACAGATAGCTCACATTAACATTAGCAAGAAGAAGAAAAAACTGGTTGTGTTTTGGGACTTGACTTTGACCTGACTTTGGGGAACAAAAAGTAGAAGTGGTATATTGGTCAATTAAATGTTACTTTGCATCCTAAACCAGTAATTTTTGATAATGCCATTGTACAAAATGCCTTTATAGCAGGGGTGTCAAACTGGGTTACTTCGAGGGCAGGATCAGTATTGTAGTTTTCAGCAGGCCAGCTGGGGGCGTTTTCTCAGGCCGTTTTTGGCCTGGATGGCCTCCTGAAGCACTTTAGGGCCAAAATGCCCCCACACTGGCAAAGTGCTTCAGGAGGCCATCCAGGCCGAAAACGGGCTGCACCCTGTTATGGCTTCCAGAGGCACCGCGGGCCAGATTTAAGCACCCTGTGGGCTGGATGCGGCCCTTTGCGGCCTTGAGTTTGACATCCCTGCTCTATCATGTACATTTAGCAACCTGAATTGATAAACTCATTATAATTGGCAACATATTTAATGTTCCTTAAATTAGAGTATGTAATTAAAAATTTGAGTTAGGATTGCTATCAGAACATGGGTCTGTTGTCCGATGATACTATTGCAGTGATGGCTAACCTTTTTGCTGTTACATGCCAAAAGTGGGGAGAGTATTGGGGGGGGGGGTCACGCGCGTGCATGCCCACACCCATAATTCAATGAGTCTCACCCCCCCCTGCGCATGCCCACGTGACCCCACCAAGCTCCCCCTGCTTTTGGCATGCGATGGCACAGTGGGCTCAGTAGGCCCATTTTCCGCCTTCCCCAGGCTCCAAAGGCTTTCTTGGAGCCTAGGGAGGGTGAAAACAGCCTCCCCCCCCCCCACCGGAGGCCCTCTGGAGGCCGGAAACAGTCTGTTTGCTGATTTCCGGTGGGACCTAGAAAGCCTCTGGAGCCTGGGGAGAGCAAAAAAATGGGCCTTCCCTCCCCCGGAGGCCCTCCAGAGGCTGGAAACAGCCTGTTTCCCGACTTCCGGTGGGCCCGGAAGGCCTGAAAAATCAGCTGGCTGGCGTGCATATGCGCGCCGGAGCTGAGCTAGGGCAACACTCGCGTGCCCACCGATATGGCTCCGTTCGCCATCATGGTACTATAGCTTTTCTGAAACTAATATTCCTTTGGTTATAACAATTTCTAGTTATTACAATTTATACATTTTAGTATTTCTGTGAACTCTTCAATTCTTTAATGAATCATCTAACATAAAAGTAAAAAAAATCGCCATCATTCTCTCCACTATTCCGATGCACTGATCCAGAAACTGTGAAGGGTAGTTGCTGGAGAAATAGTGATATTATCTAAACTGAATCTGTATAGAATATATTTTCATTTATACATTTAGACTTGATCCCCACTTCTGTTCAGTTTTAAAATGTTGATTAAATCAAGTTTGTGTATGTTTTATTTAAAGTTACAGTAGATTGCTTGCTTTCATTACGTAGTTCTATGTTCTATGAAAATGGTTTTATATGCTAATTCAAACTATTTCAGCAACACATTATGAAAATGTAATATATAGATTTATTTCTCTCTATTCTTAAGTTATAAATATTACATTATTGCCATTAAATGAGATATTTGCTATTCCAGCTTCAGGGCAATACATTAAAATTCCTTGAGTATAGTTATTTAAATGGTCTGACCTAGAATTTTGTTATACAAATCCTATAAGCAGCAAAAGTCTAGTATTGTGTATCTTGTAATTCCCAGACAATACACTTGAAAAAATGTATAAGGGCAGAACTCCCTTCAGGAAATCCTTTCCTGCTGTCAGCAGTGGTGACGGTGACTGCATAGCTATGAAGAGCATATCTTTGAATGTAGTATAAGTAGTCCCCATTTAGTCCCCATTTAGCAACCATTTGCAGCTGTGACAATGAAAAAATAATTTTACAATTGATCCTCTCATTTATGGCCTTCACATGTTGTAAAGCAAAGGAAAACTGAAGTAAGATCATAAACACACTTACAGTTTCACTGAGTGACTGCTTTGCTTAACAACCAAATTACCAATCTCTAAATAATTGTCACTAATTGAGAATGACCTGTAATGTACTTAGGGAGTGAGTGAATGATCCACTGATTCCGAATAGCCTTGGTTGCTCTCAAACAATTGACTGTTAAGAAGATAAGACCAAAGCATAAATTGTACCAAGGCCCAAAGGACAAGTTATCTAAACGTCAGCATTCAAAAATACTTATTCTGTAAATGTAAGCAGTTTTCCTGTCTGGCTCAAGTTTTAGAATTAGTAGTCTAAGATTGAAAAATATATGTCCATTTTATGTTGTATGTATAGAACCTCTAATTGCACTTTTGGTGCTGTGTTAAAAGTTAAGGCATTCAACTATAAACAGTCTCTTTGATAATTAATAGTTACAAAACTTAAGAAATAATTTGTTTTGTTTGCAGGGTGTGGAAAGTGAGGCTCCTGGTAAGTATCTCTCCCCCCCCCCCCCAAGCTTTTTAAAAGTTCTTCCCAGCTTGAAGAAGTATCGCTGATTGAATGCAAGAACTGTAGGGGAGGCTTAAAGAATAAATTTATTAAGACAGTCTGGAAAGAACTCTAAAAGATTGGTGTTGTCACATTGCAGTGCTGCCTGTCAGCTCTGTGGCCTCTTGGTCTTTTATCTGCGCACTTTCCGCCGTGCCTTAAAGACATTTTTGTTTCATCAAGCTGGGCTGACCTGACCATATTTTTTAAATTGTTTTAATTTTAAATTGCTAAATTATGGGTTTCTTAATATGGGGGTGTTTTAACTGTGGGCCAAATTAATTTAATTGGTTTTTAATATTGTTTTAATTTTTGTATTTTCTTTATTTTATCTGCTGGCTGTTCACCGCCCCGAGTCCTTCGGGATAAGGACAAAATTATTATTATTATTATTATTATTATTATTATTATTATTATTATTATTATTATTATTATTATTATTATAAGTAGAAATAAAAGATTTGGAGAAATGCATTAGGTTATTTGCATATTTTAAAATGTAGTATTGGAATCCTTCTTACAAAAAGGAATCATTAGGGAGTTTAATAAGATAGGTTTAAATTAATCCTGCAATGCTTTCAGTGGTAGAATAGCAGAATATATAGTCCGATCACAGTGGAAAAGGATGGTAGGCTACACTAAATTGAAAGCAGCACAGCCATTTTTATGACAAAGTAGATAGAATGGAATTAGCCCAGTTTTCTATCAAGCAGAACATTTATTTATGAAGTGTAATGACTTAGGCACTTGGGAGCTTTATCAGATGTGAAATAGCACACCTTTCCTCGGGCAGGCAGTTAACATTACTCAGTTGCCCTACAGGCCTAATCTTAGTTGGGTTTTTTAATGTATGAATGCCTTTCCAAAATGATTCATCTTCAAAATTCCAGCAGAGAGATTTTTCCAATTTCTTGTCTCAAGCCAAACATATTTGACTTTGTTTTCTCTATCCAAAGTCAAAATATTTCTTACAAGGCTGTATAACCTGGCATATCAAGCTTAGTTTTTTAAATCAAGGTTAAAAGGGCAACCTCACTTGGTTATGTGTAGGATCAAGTTCATACCTCCTCTCAATATTAATTTCATAGACATAGTTACAATTCAAGAATGTGATTTTAAGTGCTATAGGAAGGGCAGTTCTATATTATTGACCACTAAGCATTTCATTAAGACTGATGATAGAATGGAGAACATTTATTCAGTCAATATATGGTCAGGGAAGAGCTAGGAAGATGGACTGCCAACCTGCTCAACCTGAAAGGAATAGTATTGTATTGTGTGTTAGATTCCAGAAGAGATTACTGCTTGAAGAATCTGCCTTCCTTAAAGATGACATTGTCAGTGGTCAGATGTTATTTTGCCCTCATAGCTGAGGAGTTTCAAATATTTAAACATATTGGGAATGTTTATCCAAATGAAACTTAATAAAGATCTTAACTTTTGAAAAAATTCTTTGCTATGAAGAATTATATATACTATTCACCATATTCCATTGTAGAAAGGTAAAGTTGTTTTTAAATTGAAAGGCAAAAAATATGATGATGTAAACAATTGTATTTTTAATGCGAATAACATAATGGTAAATGTGGCTTACCATTATTATAGCTCAAAAATAGTACCTGTATGTTTTGAGCATCTGGAACTTGCAGTTCACATCACCTCAGATCTGTTGGGAGTTCTCTTCCAGAAATGTCTTACCTCACTTGAAAGTAAAAAGCTGAGTCAACCTTGAGCCAGTCAGAATCAAATTCCTGGCAGTGGGCAGTTAGCCTGCAATACTGCATTCCAACCACTCCGCCACCATGGTTCTTATTGTAGTTCTATTCTAACCACTCAACTACCATACCTCCTATTGCAGTTAAACTGGTGTATATCTGCAAGATAGAGATTTCAAGTAATGTTCCTATTCCTGTAAGAATTATTATTTTAAGAGAGTAGTTTAGATACCTTGGGTTCTGAAAAAGACAGGCATACATATAACATGTAGGTTCAGTACAGTAACCTGTGATTCCTACTTACTTTAGGAGTTCTGAGGGCTTCCTTATTTCTTGCCAAAAGTGAAACATACTTAGATTAGAGAGTGAATGTTTCTATTTCCATACAGCCATTGTCTTATGTTTTTTTTCTCAGAAAACACAGAAGAAACTGCTTCAGGCTCAAGTGAAGAAAAGCCCTTGCCAGCTGCGCCTCTTCCTAGCCCAGAAGCTGCAGGAGCTGGGAGGAATCGTAGCCCAGTAGCCCAAGCACCATCCAGGAGAAATCCACCAGGGGGGAAGTCTAGTCTAGTGCTCGGTTAAGCTCAATTTTCCTTCATTCCTTAATACTTGGAACTTGTGTCTGTCATCTTTGTTTTTCTTCCATGCTTGTGAACTGCACAACTTGAGCTTGACTGTACTTCTAAAACTACCATTAAAGGAGCACTTTATGTACTTCATATTTTTTTGGTTTTGTTTTTTTCAACCAATCCTTCCTAAAACTTCTTGTCTTGTCTCTCTTGAGTCTAACAGAAGTGACATGTGTAATTTTTTTTCCGTAATGGTAGACAGTGGTATTCGCTATACAGCTCATGCCTGACAAAAGATTTCTGAGGTGTATAGTAGTGTCTGAAACTAAGATGGATTAATTCTGAGTGTGCTAAGTGGCATTTTTGTCCTAAAATTTGTAGAACAGTCTTAGTTGACTTAGAAAGGTTGGAAACTGGGATTGTAAAGGTAGTGGATGAGTGACAAATGTATTCTTTCTGTACACAACTTTGCAACATATTTTTCCAAGGTACCATTTAATAATTGGTAAACGATTGAAGCCCTGTTGTGCACTGAAGAACTATCAAGTTGTGTTGCTAGAAATTAACCATGCTCCCTTCAACAAGTGGGATCTTGGTTTAGTTATAACAGGATGAGATCAGTGCTGAAGATAAACCTAAAGATGTGAGATTTTGACTGTTCTCTAAATATCAGGTCCCATTGTAAATGATGATGGAATGCATCTTACAAAAGTAAGTATTAGTTGGATAAAATTTTGGGGACATATTCCCCGCCCAAATGACTCCAGTACTATGCATGATCATGCTGGTGCTTAAACAGAAGGTGGAAAAACTCAGCCTTCTAAATGTGTATTGTACCTTGAAAGCTGGATTGTTGCTAAAAAATAAAAGATATAGAAATTTTGAATCTGCGTCAGAGCCTTATTTTCAAATTTACTTGGTTTGCTGCTTGAATAATTTCTGAAATGAAAATCCAAAAGAGAAAATGCATGGACTTTTAAAATTGTTTTATAATACATTTGTGTATCAATGGAAGTAACGCTGGTGTGCAGCTAGAGCCTTCCTCACTTATTGGCATGGTTAAAATAATGTGTCTCTACATTCTGTACTAAAAATATCTCTGCATGCAGGCATGGAGGACACATTTTTCTGGAAAATAGAGGGGTTTTATGGCTATTTTTCTCAAATCCTTTTAAACATTAAATAAGCCTAACCTACATGTTCTACTATTACCATATGAAAAATCCAGAGTTTGTAAAGGTATCAAAGAAAATAAACTAGGAAAAAGGATGAAAGTTCCATAATTCAGAAAGTTGTTTTCCTATATCCCAGCCACACAATTCAAGTAATGGGATGCAGAAAAATTCATGGAATAGTCATATTATATAGGAGAAAGTTATTGTGTTAAGTATCCCAATGCCAAGCTGTTTTGAAGCAGAAAATCACCATTTCTGGATTTCTGTACTTCGTGTTTTGACTGCATTGATTTGCTTTGGGTCCATCAATTAAGCAATGCCATCTAATGAAACTCAAGAAACCAGGCTTCCCTGTCATAAAATCTGCTGTCTGGAATAGCTTACCCCCAGAGATTAGTACAACCCCATCTTGCCTGCCTTTTTTTTTTCATCTCCCAAGCTATGGGATAGACTAGAGGTTGATGAGGTTGGGGATTATGTTGTTCCTTGCACATTGGTGTTTTTTTAACATTCCATTTAAGTTGGGAAGATATTTGGAGTTCAATAAATTCAATGTACATCTACTATATTCTGGAACTCCAGACTTAGATACCACGCAATATCTTTATTTTGGTCTTTGATTAGCATGATAAAAAAGGGAGAGCTATGAAATTACCAGTTCTAACATTAAAACAATCTGTCTAATCTGCTTGGATTACTGCAATTCCCTCTACATGGGCCTGCCCCTGAGATGCACCCGGAGACTCCAGCTGATCCAGAATGCAGCCGCACGGGTTGCTATGGGAGCCCCTCGTTACTCCCATATAACACCCCTCCTGCGTGAGCTGCACTGGTTACCAGTGGTTCTCCGGGTCCGCTTCAAGGTGCTAGTCCTCACCTATAAGGCCCTTCATGACAGGTCCGGGATATTTGCATGACCTTCTGCCTGCCTGCCTCTCACCGTCCTGTTCGCTCACATAGGGCCGCTCTCCTCAGGGTTCCGACTGCGAGCCAATGTCACCTTACTGTGCCCAGGGGTAGGGCGTTCTCTGTGGGTGCTCCCACCCTCTGGAATGAATTACCTACTGAGCTCCAGACGGCTCCTGATCTCCGCTCCTTCCGTCGGGACTTGAAGACTTGGCTTTTCAAACAAATAGGCTGAGACTGATTCCTGGCTTTATTATTTACTACTAATTAATTATTTGGATTAAATTATGATTTTATTGTACTTGTTTCTTAACTTGTGTTCGCCGCCCTGAGTCCTTTGGGAGAATGGCGGCATATAAATACATGTAATAAATAAATAAATAAATCACATGACCTTGACACAAAGGTCATAAGTATGAACCAGTTGCTAAGCATCTGAATTTTGATGACATGACCATGGGGATACTACAAAGGTTGTAACTGAAAAATGGTCATAAGTCACTTTTTTCACTGCCGTTGTAAATTTGAGAGGTCACTAAATGAATTGTTGTAAGTCGAGGACTACCTGTATTGTACAACTGAATAACTGGAGGCTAAAAACAAGCAATAGAACCTGTGTTGAGATTGAATAGCTGGTAGTCAATAGTTGCCTGCCTCAGTCTTCTCTTTGTTAAGTTAAACATGCCTAATTCCTTTAGCTGTTCTTTATAGGATATAGCTCCAGATTCGTTATTTTCATTGCTCTTCTCTGCACTCTTTCTAGGTTTCAGCATCACTTTTATACTGTGATCAGATATGGATGTACTACAGTATTCCAAATGTGGCTTCACCAGTGCAGTATAAAACAGTACTATCACTTCCCTTGGTCTTCATACTGTCCCTCTGTTAATGCAGGTGTTGCAAATATTAGTTCACTGCTACAGCATCCATCATAGAACATGTGAACTCTATCTGGATTAGGCAGTGGCCTACTTTAGATATGACAAAATTGTATTATATAGACTTTTTTTTTCAAACATGGCAACTTTAATTAGTATGGACTTCAACTCCTTGGTAGTACAGTGGTTTGATGCACCCTGTTATTAACACAGCTGCCTGCAATTTCTGCAGGTTCGAATCTTACCAGGCTCAAGGTTGACTCAGCCTTCCATCCTTTCTAAGGTAGGTTAAATGAGGACCCAGTTTGTGGGGGCAATAAGCTGACTTTGTATAAATATACAAAAGTATGAAGGCTATTGCTTAACGCATTGTAAGCCGCCCTGAGTCTCCGGAGAAGGGCGGCATATAAATCAAATTAAAAAAAAAAAAAACCTCCCAGAATTCCTCAGCCAGCAGGGCAAATTCTGGAATTTGAAGACCACACATCTTCAAGTTACAAATTTGAAAAACTCTTACAAACCAATGATGAAGTTGCACAGTATATTGATTAGAGTAAAATAATGCACTATTCTGTACCGTATAGCAGTGTTTCTCAATCTTGACAACTTGAAGATGGCCTGGACCAACTCCCTAGTTAGTTTTGCTGGCTGAGGAATTCTGGGAGTTGAAGTCCACACATTTTCAAATTGAGAAGGTTGAGAAACTGCTGTATAGGGATTCTTTCCATGAGTGATTCTTACACACACGGTTGACTAGTTAGCAGCTCTGCGAACTTAACCTGTGACTTTTGCTCCAGTTTTTCTGTTAACTCAGATAACTGGTTTCAGATGAACCCGTCTAAAAATTATACGAAATCAGGAAAACACACGTTCGACTTTTAACGATCAAACCCAGTCCCAGACCTTAGCAAAATCAAAACTGCAATATCACGAAATTAATGTTTAGCATCTGCTTTAAGTCTAATTGTTTACCGGTTGATACCCACTGATTTTTTAGATAAGAAAAAAAAAATAAACAAATTTTAGGATTAAAACTGGGAAATCTCTACCTTTTGATGGTGCTATTTACACAAAGTATCCTTGAAACGAATCAAGGTCTTATATATACAATATATATAATGTCGTCTGGTGGACTAATGCGATCTTAAAAAGGATTGGTAAATGAACCTCAAACTGGACTCCTGTCCTGAAGTCATGGCAAACGGAGCAAGGCCAATTCCCTTCTTTTTTTGCAAAAAGTTTTTATTTTTTAACCAAACATACCAATTACATCTTTTCGGAACAGAGCTTTGATCCGGTCATCAATTTATACAATTTTTTGTCACCCTTGACAAAATTTTATATATTCTGTTTTGCCATAACACTTATTTCTCAATCTTCTCATTTATTCAACTAATACCATCTTAAAAAGAGTTTACTCTTATTTACTTAACCAAAACAATTACCCTTCTATTAACCCACCTAAAATCTTAAATCAGTTAATAACTCATAGTACATTTATCAAATTTAAATCTTACCTCTAATCTTAAAAATATAGACATTTAACATTTAAACTTAGTTCTTAATTCAAATAATGCTATATCAATTTCCTTTTCCTTTTTGCTTAAATAAAAAATGTTTATTACAATTGTTAGACATATTTAAACAATATCCCAATTATTATAAGAGGCCAATTCCCTTCTGTCATCGATGAAGGGGCTCGGATTTACTCCTTTCCCACGAGGTTCTCGGCCGTTTCTTGCCTGAGCAGAGGGTGGGACTAGAAGACCTCCAAGGCCCCTTCCAACTCTTGTTACTCTGCTTTTTCCGCCTTGATTTGCGACCCCGCACTTGTAAAGCTCCTTTGCCCTTCCGTACCGCGACTCCATTCGGGCGGAAAAACCTCGATTCTTCCTCTCTCCTCTTCCTGGCCTGAGTTGAGGACTTGGGGGCGGCGCCGCAGCCTCTTTGCCGCTTGAAAGACATGGCCGGCGGCGGGGTTCCCTTGCTCCGTGTGCTGGTGGACATGGATGGGGTCTTGAGCGACTTCGAGGGCGGGCTGCTCCGCGACTTTGTAGCTTCCTACCCCGAGGAGCCTCACGTGAAACTGGCGCAACGAAAGGGCTTTTCAGCGCTAGATCAGTACCGGCGCCTGCGGGAAGACCTAGGGGTGAGCTTCTGGTAGCTGGATCCCGGGACAGGAGGAACTCTAGATCTCCTTCCCGCTCCGCTTGGTTATTCCTGCAACTAAAGGAGAAGGGCAGAAATACTGTACAGGGCAGATCTCAGGTTTTCTCCTTACATGAAGCCTCTAGCATTTTTAAAATCCGTAGTTTCTGGTCATGTTGAGATAAACATAGGAACGTTAAGGGGCTTTTACAAAAAACTTATCTGCTTTGAAAATGATTTAGAAGATTTCCTATTAAAAACAAACAGATCTGGTGTTCCTTAACACTGGCTCAACTTTATCAGGTTCCCATATCTTTTTCTTTCTTTTTTTTTAAAGATAGTTGTTTTAAGGAATCAGTCATCAGTCCACCTCTTAAAGAAGCAGATTTTTTTTTTTGAAGCTAGCAAAAGACCGCAGAAGTTTGAACTGCTCTATTAAGCACCAGATTACTGCAATATACAAGGCCCAAACCCTTTTGCCTATAAATGAGTACTGTACAACTATTACAGTATTACAAGGGAGTGAAAAGCCTTTCTGTAGTACAGGTAAAGTTGGCAGCTTTAAAGTTTTAAAATAAAGTTTTAGCTGAAGCATTGTAAATCTGTTCATGTTGTGAGCTTTTAATTGGTGGAGTGCTTAAGAGTGCGACCCTGTGTACTTTTTAAAAACACAGTATTGGATATATAAAATTCTACTCTTGTTTGAGAACTGATAAAAGCTGTTGCTTCACTGCTATTATTCTGCTGTAAACTTTCCCTCTAACTTCAGCAGGTGGCAGCCTCCGGCTCTCCTCTGGGTTTGAAAGGCTGAGCAGCGTCATCTGTTTAGGATATAAATTAGGGGCTCTTAGGGTTGTGTCTAAACTGGAAAGTCAAGATACACCACAAAAGGTGGAAATGCCAAATCACTTTTCAAAACTATCCAAGAGTTAAGGGTGGCTTTGCTTTTTATTATTTCTTGCTTTTATGTCACCAGGGAGACATAACGCTGGTTCTTAGGTGTTTTCCCATATCTTCATTTCTGCCAGGAACTGCATCATTTGCCTTTATACTGAAACAGGAAGAGAAACCAGAACAAGCTTGTAGTAAACTTCCTTCCTGAAGCCTTCAAGACCTCAAAGTAAAGGAGTTTGAAATCATATCCTGAAGAGCAAATGGCAATCTCTCTCAAAGTCAGATGTTTTATCCAAATTAACACAAAAACTTTTGAGGAGAGAAATATACCTGTTTTTTGTTCTTAGCTGGGCATCCCTTTGGTGCAAGAACCACACAAATTGCCAGAGGTACCCCTTTTATACAATATCTGTCCTCTCCCTTCCAGCAGTCCTGGGCTGTTTTCTCAGAGGAAGAGCAAAGGAAAGAAACCATTTTCTTTCTCACCTATACCTTGATGCAGATCACGATACTCTGCAATCCTGAGAAGTAGCATCGGCAATTAGTTGAACAGCTGGCTGGCAGGAATGAAGTCTCTGCATTTTTGGGCATAAGTGGTATTACTTAGACAGCAAGGGAAGTGTGAGAATTTCCCTTCCCCATCATAGTTTTGTGTGTCAATGCAGCGTGATGCACCCATACATGTGTTACTAAAAAGGTGATCTCTAGTTTGGAGTTCTCAATCTTGGCAACTTAAAAGATGTGTAGACTTCAGCTTCCAGAATTTCCCAGCCAGCTTCAATTCTGGGAGCTGAAGTTAACACATCTTCAAGCCGCCAAGTTTAATAAACACTGCTCCGGCAGGTTATCTATGTATGCTTAGTCCTTCCACCGCTTATTCATTCTAATAATTACAAAGCAGTTACAGTTATTTACCTAAGCAGTGTTTTGCAAGGTTTGAGAATCATTTTAGTGCCATCCCTCAATTATAACAATGTTCTTCACTTTACTGAGTTTCTGAATAAAGAACAGATTCAAAAGTATAAACTTAATTTTATTTGAAAAAGAATATATGAGATAGAAATATAACAGTCACACTAGCTATTTTAAATGACATCTTGCACCAATGACCCATTCTTAATTTCTTGCTTTAAAAAACAGCTTGGCCTTTAGTGTTACTTACCTGATACCTTGGAATATGGTTTGAAATGAACTTAAAACACATCTAGTTTCTTTATATGATCTTTAAAGCTATCTGAATTTTAAATGTTAATTAAATTGTCTTAACCATAATTCTAAATATGTGATTTTTTTAGGCCAAAATAGCCAAGGTCTATGAGTCACCTGGCTTCTTTCTGAGTCTGCAGCCCATCCCAGGAGCTATTGAAGCAATGCATGAGATGATTCAAATGCCCAAGTAAGGACCATTTGACATTAAGAATACTTTGGCATCAGTATACATTTTCTTCTTGTAATGGAGAATATCATGTCTTTTCAGCACTGAAGTTTTTATTTGCACAAGTCCTTTACGGAAATATGAATACTGCGTTTCAGAAAAGGTTGGCAATTGTCACTCTTCCTTCTTTCACTCTTAACATGCGAAGCACCTATCAATCAAGATGAGGGATTCTTTATGTTTTAAAACTCTTTTCTTTCATTGGCTTTCTTTCCTTGCCTCATCCCTGGTCAGTGGCTAATAACAAGACAATGTCAGAGCAGGTTTGGGTAGCTTTCATACCATGCCTCGGCTTTAGTTCTGAGATTACAGAAAAGTTCTGTTTTAGTCCAGGATACTAAACTCTTAAGAAGATTACTAGCCATTAAAATCCAAATCCTCCATTGCCCTATACAAACTGAAATCTTGCCAGTACAAAGTCACTAAAGAGTCAAATCCCTTTGAAGGAAAAAAATATCAAGTATATTTACTCCTTAATAAACAAAATATATACTCCATTCATTAAAATAATAATATGGTACTAATCAGAAAGGGTGGCTCTTTCAAATCAGCACAGGCCGTCTGGAAAGGCTACTCCTATCTGATTTTAAAACTTCTAAGTGGCATTTTAGAAAGGATTATATTGTCCAATAGTTTATACATATGTAATTATACATATGCATCTTATGAAATACGCATAGTTAAGATGCTGAAGCTTTAAAGTCTATTTTATCTGATTCATGTAGTAGTTTCTTAAGCTTGTCGCTACCACCTAGATACGAAAGACTTCCTTTATTCTCTACTGTCCACAATATCAATTTATTATAAAGTTTTATGCCACCTTCCATCAAAATTATGAGGATAACAGACTAGTATCATAGACTAACTATATAGGAATAATTATTATCTGGAAATCAGTCTTTAAAGAACTATCTTTCAAAGCTTGGAAAAATTTGTCTGGAAAGTCAAGGAAAGCCAGTTTGTGTGGCTCTCCAATTTTTGCTTTATTACAGCTTCTATCACTGCTAGCCAGCCCTGCCCATTATAAGAGATTAGAAGAGCTGCAGGCCAGCCTCTCAACCAAAAAGAAAATTTAAATTCAAGAATGGGCTGACCTGATTTGAGTGTAGAAAAACATCCCCCTCCCATGCCCCAGAGCATCCCTATGGAAGAGGCAATTGGGTAACAATTAAATTAAATTAAAGCAAAGCAAAAAAACAGCTTTAAAGATGGCTGATTGCTCTGTTCTAACCCTCATCCCTTCTTAGTTATGATCTAGAGCAGAGATTTTCAGGGTTTGGGAAATCCAGAAGCCACTTATTCCCTAGCCTTGTTAAGAATAGTGAAATTAAAGGCTAAAACAGTAGAAAAGATACAAATACAGTATTCCTGAAAGACAGTGCTAGGCAACTGCACAGTCACAAAACACCCTCATAAATTTAAGAGCAAACCTGCTTCTTAACAATGCAATTTTCTACTTTAGACCCAATATGTATATATGGCTAAATATTTTTACAGCCTCCAGCCAAAAAAGTCATCCATTCCTGCTTTATATAATCACCTATATCAGAGGTGTCAAACTTGCGGCCTGCAGGCCACATGTGTCACGCACTGGCCATGCCAACCCATTTTAACAAAGGGGGAAAGAATTGTGATACATCACGTGACGTGACAACGCAAGTTTGACACCCCTGACCTATATGGTTGAAAGAGACATTTTGGAAAACAAAAGAATACATTTTATTTGTTCTGGTATGACCCATATCTAAGTAATAATACTTAAAATTGTATTTTAATTCTTGCATGAAAGAAAAATAGCTACGTTAGGGTTGCTTTTTGACAACTTTGTTCTCTTAATCACTATAAATTTTAATCACCTTTTTTGTGAACCATATAGTGAGAACCTTGATTCTGTTAAAAAAAAAAAAAGCGCTAACCTGATGTACTTTCGCCATTAAGGCCAAATTTTCACTTTTAAAGGAAATTTTAAGGAAAGAAAAGGACATTTTAAAGGAAATAGGGCAGGCTTGCTGCAGATCCTGTCAGCAAAAGAATGTTAATTCATGGGGACTAGAAGACAAGCTTTTTCTGCAGCAGCCCCTGCTCTGTGCAACATCCTCCTTCTGGAGATTAGAATGGCCCCAATCCTGTTAGCCTTCTGTACAACTTTAAAGACCTTACTGGCTATGCTCCCGAGCCTGGGGTGCTACATGCACCAAGAGCCACGTCTCCTGGCTATATTGTTAACAGGACAGATTTCTTGTTATGAATGTACTTAAATTAGATGTTTTAATGATTTTTAGAGTTTTAATGGCTTTTACTGATTTTGTTGTTTTAAAATGTTTTACGACTTTAATTATAATATAGGTTTCTGAATTGGGAGCAGGCCCAGAAGAATTTACTGAGATGGGTGGCTATAGAAATCAAATAAATAGGTAGGTAGGTAGGTAGGTAGGTAGGTAGGTAAGTAAGTAAATAAATAAGCAAGCAAGCAAGCAAGCAAGCAAATCAATCACCCAGATTTGTTCTTGGAGCTAGATTACCAGCCTATGCTTGTTTACTCAAAAATAAGATTGTGTTCGTGTGTTCATTGAAACGTAAGAGACTGGTAAATACATAAAGATTTATAATGTAGTGTTTTGCAAAGTGAGCAAAGAATTTTGGACGTTTGGAGAGTATCAGCAGCTTGAGATATAGCCCAAGCATTCTGTCTTAAAGCTACATAGGATAAGTCTACTAATGTCTTATAGTAAAAAGAGTTTTTGTGAAAGCTGTAAGTGCCTTTCTTCTAATAACTGCTTTCTTATCACTTGGCAGTATGTATGGGTTGCGCAGCACTTGGGTCCTAAATTTGTGGATCGACTAATTCTGACTCGAGACAAAACAGTTGTTTCAGCTGATCTGCTCATTGATGACAAGGACACCATTAAAGGTATAAGGATCTGTGCTACCACTTCAACTTTTCATCACAGTGCTGTATTATATGGTTATATTTTTAATGTCCCTTTCCAATTCTTCTCAGGGGTAGAGCCAAATCCAAGCTGGGAACACATCTTGTTCTCTTGCTGTCACAACAAACATCTAAAGCTACAGCCGCCACGGAGAAGACTTGAATCTTGGACGGATGACTGGAAGGCGATACTGGAGAGCAAACGCTTCAAGTGAAGCATAAAGAAAAGAACATTTATTTCAGCCACCATCAAAGGCTCTGGGAAGTATTTGCTGATCACCAATCCCAACTGGAAACAGAGACAGGCCCTTCAAGTCAAATGATCCATATGGGAATAGGATTATATCTTAATTCTAAATGCGCTTGAATGATTAGAGTTATTAAAATTTTAAATCCTTGGATGGAATGTTTGTTATGTTTGCCAATTAATTAAATGAACAAAAGAGCTCTAAAAATGTAAGACAGCTCTTTGACTCATTATCTCCCCCCGCTCCTTACTGAAAAATATACTCAGACAAAGAACATATATTTCTATTTTCTCAGATCTCCTCTACAAACAGTCTAGAATATTTACTAAGGCTCTTTAACAACTAGTTTATGGCAACTGGTTCCTATTTCTAAATAATCTGAAAATGAATTGAAAAGAACATTAGAGTACGAAAGGAACCCATCCATTCTCAAAGTCCACTATATGCTTCCCAAGGGAAACCCTCAAGACTATTTACAGTCATTTTTAAAGCAGAATACCTGCCGCGAATTCTTTCGCTTTTCCTTTGGGATGTGTGTCAGGAAAGAATCCTGCTCCTAATTCAGGGAGGATCTTGTTGGCTGCCTCCTGGGCTGCATTCATCCTTGGGCAGTGGAATCCCGACTGCTGTGTGCCTGGTTAGGCTCCTGGCCTGCTCCACCTGAAGGGGGCTGCAATAATCCTCAAGGAAAATAGTGGCCAAGTTTTTCAGCCTTTTGTTGTTTGAGAGGGAGAAGCGCAGCATGCACTCGATCACAGGGAGGGTGGTGATCTCTTGGCGGGACTGGGGTGTGGACAAGTACATCAGAGTTGTAACTGCAGACAGGACTGTCTCTTCATTGGCACTGGCCAGACAGCTGACAACAGCTGACACTCCACCAGCCTCTAGTATATAGTCTTTGTTGATTTTGTCCAGGCAGAGATTACACAGTCCTCCTGAAAAATAAGAGAATGAGATGGTAAAGATAGTAACAGGGTGGTTTGGTCCATTTCATCTTAATAATAATGTACATTTCGGTAGTTCTAAGACAATTTTGTCTCTTATTTCTATCCGTAAATGGTTTTGGGCTAAATCTGATACAAGTACTGTACTAAACTGCTCATTTGGTGACCATTTGAACTTAAAATGACTATAAAAAAGTATCATGACTGATCATTGGAAGTTGCAGCCATCACAGAATCTTGCAGTTATGTGATCACAATTCAGGTGCTAGACAACCATCAGACATTTACAATTTAAAATGTGTGATCACCATTTGTAGCCAGACAAGCAAAGTCAATGGGAAAGCTGGCAGGAAGTCATAAGCCATGGTCACATGATATTCATATTTCTAAACAACCACGGGTAATTCACTTAACAGCTGCAGCCAGAACTGATGTTGTAAGTTAGTGTATTCATGTGATGTTTCACTTTACAACTGTGTTGTTTAGCAACAGTTGCCAGTCCCAATTGCAGTTGGTACCTCAGGTCTACCTACAGTATATAGCAGGGGTGTCAAACTCACGACATGCGGGCCAGATGCATCACATGCTCCCCCCCCCCGGTTTAGCGAAGGGGGGGAAAAGTCCCGATACATCATGTGACACTGCCGTGACGAGAGTTTGACACCCCTGGTATATAGTATAAGTAAACTTGCAAGCTATTTATATGAATGCTGTCCATCAAAAATAGCTTTCAGGAGGTGCAAAAACATCTCTGTATCTGCAGAATCCTTACATTGGAAAGTTTGAATGAGCAGGCTGAGAGCTAAACTGAGAAGCACTACTCACTAGTCACAGTATGGTCATACCTACCAGTAGAACCAGTCATAAATACTGTCCTGTCAAATGGGAAGACACAGCAGAGAAGAACCAAACTTTCTCAGTTCAAATGACCAATTTATAACAAAGATACATTCAGAATCCTAAAAGTCATAAAATACTGCTTGTAGGTTTTACATACAGATTATGAGTTTGTACAAATGTTGTGAAGAAAGAACAAACCAGTACACCTCATGAATTAGAAATCTATAACACCAGAATTATAAAATATTATACATATTTGGAAAAACTTGTACTTGCAAAATAGCCTATACATTTGGATTTATTTATTTTTTTGCCAAAAGGAGAAAAGGCAGGTAAAAGAAATGATACAGAGTTGACAAGCCCCCTCTAAGAGCCAATATAGTTTATGTTTAACTATTTTGACATTGCCAAAAGTTCCTCTATGCAAAAAATATTGAATACATAGTTTCTCCTTTAAAAAAAATCCTACTTATTTTTCTAAAGTTGAAATCTTATAACATGCAAATGTTTTATTTAAAAAATTAAGTAATCTACATAATTTCAACCACTCGATTTTGTTTTGAGAACCTTTTCTTTAATATAAACCGGTCAGGCTAATCTCAAACAACACTAGAAACACTACTTTGCAACAGTCATCGTGCAAGAGAATGTTATTTTATACTACTGCTCTCAGCTGTACTCTGTCTTATGTTTGCTGGTGTAATTTGTAAGTGTCCTCTTGCCATCATTTTCAAAATTTATTTTCTGTAATATCCAGAATACCCAGTTCTTCAACCTACTTGCATGCCTTTGCCAGAAAGTTCTTAATCCAAGGATGAGGAAACTAGCCCCCCACTTCTCTGATCATTGCTGATGCAGAGTAAGGCTTCTGCAACTTTTAGTTTAGCAATGAATTACATAATTACAGGTTCTTCTTCACAGCTTAAAGTGAAGACAAGAGTTGAACACTGCAATGGAATAGGCTAACATGCTAGCTTCTCCTATAACTATTGAGAAATGATTCTATTTCATGGAAAATGTTGAAATCCAGGCCTTACCAAGTGCAAATTCCACAAGACTGTCGTTGTCCTCAGTGAGCATGTCTAGAAACAGATCCAAGACCTTGAGCTGCCGCAGATATTCATAATTTTGGGGGTTATAAGCAAAATTGGCCAGATTAGCCAAAACTTGCTCTTTGGCATCTGCAACATAAATAAAAGAACTCTTAATATTAAAAAAGCACCTGTAAAAGTCAATATGGAAATATGAACTGACCAATAAATTACACTCACCTGAACTATCTGTCACTTGGAATTCAGTGACTAAGGCCTGCAAGTATTCAAGCCGACTCAGGCCTACCAACTCCTTCTGATTTTGGGACATACCGGTAGATGCTAGATAAATAGAAGACAAAACAGTATTAAGAACATCATCTGGTGTTATGGCAGGTATCAATACTTATTATAAATGTATGCATTTCAATTATCCCAGTGTATATTATTCAATTCGATCTTCAAAAATACTAGAGTGGTATATAAAAGCATTGCTAGGTAACCATGCACAATAACACTCTTAGTAATAATTTTGACATAAAGATTATAATGCTTCTCTTCTAGCAAGTTCACGTGACTGTTGGCATTTGTTAGATTTTATTTTATTATATTTTTTGAGTACGGTTTTTAATTCTTTTTGATTTTGTTTAGGATCCAAATTTAATTAATTTCTTCAGATTTAATTTATTTAATATCTTAATTAAATCTTCCTTCCATCTGGATCACAGTAAAGTGAATTTGCCAAATCTTAGCATATAGCATATTTTCCCTAAGCTAGCTGCACTGTTGTAATATAAAGAAGACTAATTCTTCTCTATCACTATTTTAAAATATGATTGTAAATGTATGCTTAAGAGAACTCCGGTATTCCAACGAATCACAAAAGCCATGTGTCCAGCATTTGATTATGCTAGTGACGTTCAAGTTACAAGGATATGGGGTCACTTCAGGAGGATTTATTAACTTGTTCTGGGAATAGCCACTGATGAATGTTTCCTTTAATAATATCCCATTTAAAATGCAAGCATTGTCACATATTTTATTTATTTATTTGTATCCCGCCTTTTTTTTTTTTTACAAATACCGTAACTCAAGGTGATGTTTCCTTTAACAATATCCCATTTAAAATGCAAGCACCGTCACATATTCTATTTATTTATTTGTATCCCTTTATTATTATTTTTTTACAAATACCGTAGCTCAAAGTGATGTTTCCTTTAACAATATCCCATTTAAAATGCAAGCACCGTCACGTATTCTATTTATTTATTTGTATCCCACTTTATTATTTTTTTTTACAAATACCGTAACTCAAGGTGATGTTTCCTTTAACAATATCCCATTTAAAATGCAAGCACCGTCACATATTCTATTTATTTTTTGTATCCCTTTATTATTATTTTTTTACAAATACCGTAGCTCAAAGTGATGTTTCCTTTAACAATATCCCATTTAAAATGCAAGCACCGTACGTATTCTATTTATTTATTTGTATCCCGCCTTTATTATTTTTTTTTACAAATACCGTAACTCAAGATGATGTTTCTTTAACAATATCCATTTAAATGCAAGCACCGTCACGTATTCTATTATTTATTTGTCCTTTATTATTATTTTTTTTACAAATACCGTAGCTCAAGGTGGTGAACATATTCAACACACCTTCCTCCTATTTTCCCTACAACAACCTTTGAAGTGGGTTGGGCTAAACTAAAGGAAGAATGAGTGACCCAAAATTACCCAGCTGGTTTTCATGGCTAAGGCAGGACTTGAACTCAAGGCCTCCTGTTTTCTAGTTCTCAGTTTGTTAGCTGATTGTTAATTTGTTAACATGGTAGCTCTATAAATTTATTATAACTTTGGCATGTTTCGAACAGCGTTCCTTTTGTGTCCATGGCAAATAAAATTTCATTTTCCGTTCCAAATTTTAACATAGCAATATAATAACGGCAATATACCGCTTCAGAGTGCTTTACAGCCCTGTCTAATCAAACATTCAAAAAACAACAACAACAAAGGATTCGGTTATAGCCTAACTATGTTAAGACCCAAGGATCTTATATCTTCATTCAGGCAACTAACCCTAATGCAAATATTTACCTTCGTTTGTATATTTTTTCATATAAAAAGGAACCACAGTAACCATCAATACTTACATTCGTGAGCGTAAGGCTAATACCAGGGTCTTCGTCCAAATGACGTCACGAAAAAGCAGGTTGGGAGGAGCCACCGCTTCTCCCACCTGCTGGATTACCTGAATTTTCCAGCCATGCGCCTCAATTTCCATCAAGCCCTTGGAGGGGGGGGGGGAAGAGGGGGAGGAGACAAGAAATCAAAACAATATCCCAGCAAAGACCTGCAGAGTTAAAATTAAAGCGAAACAGGAAGCCGGAAGTTACGTTTAGGGACGAGGGGAAAGGTGGTCCCCAGCGGCACAGAGAGCCTCATCCCCACGTGTTGTAGTTCCGTGTTTGGTGCGGGATGCCTCTGAAAGATTCGGGAGGCGGAGCCTCTGCAGCTTCCGCTGGCGCCGCCTCTTCGGGGTTGGGAGGGGGGAAAACCCCCGGCGGGTACTGGTCTTCTGGGTGATGGATGCTGCGGGAAGCATCGCTGATGCTCGGGATGGTCGCTTTTGTGCACGATTTGGCGGGTCGCAAGGGGCGCCCCGACCCAGTGGGGAGAAGTTGTGGATCCGCGATGTTTTGAAAATAAAGTTTCATACGTATTTAGGAGTAAAACCTCTTAAACGAATCGGATTAAAAGCTCAACTTTCGTTGGAAATTGACCCGGATATCTCTGGTGATTCTGCATGTGTTTTAACGTTTTTAAAGTTTTTAATGTTTTTCTTTTAACATTTTTATGGGATTGTTCGCATTGTTTTATTCTTTGTTGTAAACCGCCCAGAGTCCCTTGGGAGTTGGGCGGCATAGAAATGCGACAAAATAAATAAAAATAAATCATAAATAAATCATCATCCAGGTCGCGGTTGTCCCAAAGGTGCTTTTTCAAGAGGCAATTGGACTTCATTGGTTTTTCTTTGAAGACATTTCACTTCTCATCCAAGAAGCTTCTTCAGCTCTGAATGGGTGTTGGGGAATGGAAGGATTTATTCTTTGCAAAGAATTTATACTCTTTGCAGAGAGCTGGTCATTTGCATTCTTTTATCCAGTCGTTGAGGCCACCTGGAGGTTTACCTGTATCATCAGGGTTACCTGAGTGGTGCAAATGGGTGTGGAGCCTTCTTGGTACTGTTGAAAGGACTGTGTTTGAACAGCCCTCTCTCAACAGCGGGGGAGGGATAGGACATCATCTATCTCATATCTACAATACAGTCCTTTCAACAGTTTCAAGAAGGCTCCACGCCCATTTGCACCAGTCAGGTGACCCCAGACGACCCAGATAAACCTCCAGGTGGCCTCAGCAACTCTCTAAAACATGGGTGTCAAACTCACCGTGTCACATTGCCGTCACGTGATGTTTCGCGACCTTTCCTCCATCACGGAGCTGAAGTGGACGTGGCCTGCATGTGACACATCCAGCCCGTGGGCCACGAGTTTGACACCCCTGCTCTAAAAGAATGCAAATGACCAGCTCCCTGCAAGGAGCATAAATCCTTCCATTCCCCACCATCCAGTCAGAGCTGAAGAAGCTTCTTGGATGAGAAGCGAAACGTCTTCAAAAAAAAAAAAAACCCAAGGAAGCCCAGTTGCCTCTTGAAAAAGCATCTTTGGGACAAATTCACCGGGAGGCTATTGGAATAAAAGGCTACTCCTGGGAGCTACTTATTCTGAGCATGACTAGGCAGGAATCCCTATCAAGGTGTCCCTTCAATGCATGTATTTGGGAGCAAACCCCTGGGGGTAGCAGAAAGGGCTGAAGGTATATAGGATGGCGCTGGGAGGAGGTCCAAAATAAGGCTCCTTCATTAGAGCTTAAGCTTCTGGGAACTTAATATACCTGTACTTTTCTTGGCAGCAGTTTAGTTGACAATGTCCTTGTGGGTTTGTATCACCGTATTAATTAGGTCCCGGTCCTGCTTAGTTTTTTACCCCCACAAGGTCCTCCCAATCGGTGGGTTTCAAATTTTTTTACAATCGGTTCTGTGAGTGTGGCTTGGTGGGTGTGGCTTGGGTGTGGCAGGGGAAGGATACTGTAAAATCTCCATTCCGTCCCCATTCCAGGGGTTACTGCAAAATCCCCATTTCCTCCCGATCAGCTGGAACTTGAGAGGCAGAGAATAGATGGGGGGGGGGACCAGTCAGAGGTGGTATTTACCAGTTCTCCGAACTACTCAAAATTTCCATTACCGGTTCTCCAGAATTGGTCAGAACCTGCTGAAACCCACCTCCGCTCCCAATCCGATAATTACAGTCCTACTCAGCTTAATTGGGAAAAACAGAAGCATTCTCTTCTTGTTTTAAATAAAACTCCTCCCTCTCCACCACCACCACTCCTTCCTCACTAGGCATATTTTGCTGATGAGCCATGAGGGGATAAATCTGGCAGTTTTAGCCCATGGAGATTTCTCCTAGATCCAGAGTATCAATATTATGAGGAGAAACATTAGAAGGTACACTGCAGGGGCATCAGCAACTAATTTGAGGTGGGCTGGGGAGAACTGGTCCAGGAAATAACTAATATTTGGATTACAGCTAACTTTATAATTTTTCAAAATGACTTTTTTTTAGATTTTCACATAATTATAGGAATACAGTCATGCTAGAAATTGCACCATAAAAATAGTTACTTTAAATAATTTAAATAGTCATGGGATGAGAAGTTCTTAACTATTTTTTCTTTCTCCTTTAAATTTTATTGCGGCAAATGAGAGTCTATTAACTTTTAGGCAAGTCATAAAAGCAGTGGAATGGAGTAAATTGGGAACCCACACCCGGGATTGTGTTTATGGTCATTGAGGAACAATAATTTTTATTTGATTTGCTATTATGTTATTTTACTATTTTAATCTCTTTTCTGAAAGAATGGAATGCAGGACCACTAGCATCCTTTGGTTTTGAACAGCATTTTATCATTAGATGTAAATAAATAAAACAGCAATGTAAATGAAATAGACTGCTATGGATTCAATGTATCACATGTTCCAAATAGCATACAAGTGTATTGATTACATTTGTATTGGTATTTTCATCTTTCCAGTGGTCAAGACTTTAAACCTGGAGTGAGACAAAACTAAGACTGCAGGAGAAATGTCTATAATCATTCAGGTCATGGGTGTCCCAAAGGTGCTTTTTCCAAAAGGCAACTGGACTTTCTTGGGTTTTTTCTTTGAAAACATTCTTTTCTTTGAAAATATTTTGATCAGAAGTAAAACATTTTCAAAGAAAAAACCAAGAAAGTCCAGTTGCCATTTGTTCTATAAAAATAGTTTTTATTGAATATAAATATTAAAAAAGACATACGTAACATATACACAATAACCATTTATACAACATATACACAAAAAGAGTGTAATTTCTTCTTAAGCATTTCTTCAGAGTGACGTTCTACAATTCTATTTATGATATATTCCTTCACCTCTCCTTAATCTAATAACATTTTTTATTATATATATATATATTTAAATCGGTAATATTTCCCCTATATTTTTTGTATATTTCTGATTTTTAACCAATTATACCAATTATTCCATATTTTATAATAGTCTGATTCTTCTCTTTCTTGTAATTCTTTGGTTAACCTGTCCATTTCAGCGCATTCTAAAATTTTCCCTATTACTTCTGTTTCACTTGGTATTTTTTCTTGCTTCCAATTTTTTGCGTAGGTTATTCTTGCAGCAGTTAATATGTGAATTGTGAGATATTTGATATCCTTAGGATATGATTTGTTAAAGATTCCTAATAGAAATGTTTCTGGTTCTTTTTCAATCTGTGTTTTTGTTATTTGTTCCAACCATTTTTTGATGTTAGACCAAAATTTCTTTGCTGCTGGGCACGTCCACCATAAATGATAGAAAGTCCCTTGTGCCTTTTTGCACTTCCAACAAATCAGGCTATTTTTAGGTTGTATTTTTGCCAATCTGGTTGGAGACATATGCCACCGATAAAACATTTTCAGTTGGTTTTCCTTGTACACAGTTGCTTTCGTTAAATTTAGGTTTACCTGCCAGAACTTTTCCCATTTTTCCAAAGGTATTGTGTGTTTGATGTTTTGAGCCCACTTAATCATCGTTTCTTTGATTGTCTCTTCTTCCAATTTATAGCGTAGAAGGAATTTATAAATTCTACTAATTAATTTATTTTCTGAATCTAATATAATTTTATCTATTTCTTGTTTTTGATTATAAATTTCGTATGTTTTTATATGTTCTCTGTATTTGGATTGTATTTGAGTATAAGTCCACCAGTCTATTTCTCTGTGTAAATCTGTCTCCAATTGTTGTTTTGTCTTTAATTTGCCTTGATAGTCAATTATATCTTTATATCTAATTATTTTTGTCTTATCTGTTAAATTTGGGTGCCTAATTGATTCTGCTGGCGCTAGCCAATTTGGTATCTTCATATAATGTTGTTTTTTAATTTTAAGCCAAATTTGTAATAATGAGTTTCTTATTGTGTGTCTTTTAAAATATGAATGTGTTTTGTATTTCTCATCCCACATAAAGGAGTGCCAGCCAGTTTGGAGTTCGTGTCCCTCAATTGTTAAAATTCTAGAGTCCTTTAATTCTATCCAATCTTTGACCCACGATAGTACTGCTGCTTGGTAATATACCTCCCAATCAGGGAGTGCAGCTCCTCCTCTATCTTTTGTATCCTGAAGCAGCTTAAATTTTATTCGTGGCCTTTTCCTTTGCCATATAAATTTAGATGTTATTTTATTCAGCTTTTCAAAAAACAGTTTATCTATTTTAATTGGGGTGACCTGAAACAAATATAAAAATTTAGGTAATATAGTCATTTTGATGGCCGAAATTCTTCCTAGGAGTGAAATGTGTAAATTTTCCCATTTTTCTAAGTCTTTCTTTGTTTGTTCTAGTAATTTAGTCCAGTTGCCATTTGGAAAAAAAGTACCTTTGGGACTGCAGGAGAAATTAAGAGTATAGATTTGACTATGGAAAGCATTGAAATATTTACTGTGACCATGGAAAAATAGATATATAACTAGGAATTTTATTCTGAACTTCCTTGTTGAAAATTAAAGCATTATAGGACTGGCATAAATGTATGTTATCTTCTGATGATTTTAAACTGTTGCTATAGCTTGCAAGTTGTTTACAGAATAAAAAGTATTGGGTGATTTAGGAACAGATAAATAATTGGAATGTTTATTGTGTCAGGTTTCTATAGAACAACTATAGGAGCTTTTAGAATAACCAACTTTTGTGCCAAAGGAACAGTCATAAGGACAGGCTTAGTCTGGCAACAGAGAGAAAA